AGATTTTTGTTGTCGGGTAAGGTATTTTGTGGGTATATATGCGAGGAAGTGCGTGGGCCGCTCACTAGACTGTTATTCTAGTATATGTACATTACCTCTGGGAGATGGCCATTTCAGGATTTCTTTACATTGGGTACATACCTAGTAAATGAAGTTGCGGGGGAGAGGCAGCAAAATTCAGTTTTCCCAAGGTACTTATAACGGTCGTTTAACGGCATAAATGGGTATAAACTGGTTAAATCATTCATTTGTTTTCTGTTTACATTATTTACTAAACTTGAGCATACTTCTCCAGTATCAGTATCTTTGATCTTCATGGCTGCGTTTGTTGGAACAAGTCATTTTGTATACATGCGATAGAATACTCGAGTTTCAAAAATAATAATAATATAATAAATAGGACCTCTGGGTAGTATAAAATCAAAATATTTATTTAAAAAAATATGACGTTTACTAAATAAACCCCTTTTGTTACTACCTCTACCTTGGCTATATGGTAAATTAGTAGTAGGCCCAATATGTGTGACTTTAAGGCATTTATCACGGCCAAGGATGGCTATTCTTCTATGGGCTTTTAGAAAGTAAAGCGTCCTTCGTGCACGATATTTTTAAAAGACTGTAACGGATTTTAGACTCATATAAAAACACTATGGAACCTTATGAATAACCTAACCACGTGTATGCGCTGAACCCGCATGGATACTACAATGCAACATTGAGAATAACGGGATGAACAGATTTTCTAATTGTCTCCAAAAACTGTGTTCGATAATACTTACCCGTTAACATAACACACCGCTCTTGAGCATCACCAGTACGTGATCAAAATGATCAAAATATACAGGTTTCATTTTTCTAACACTTTCCTCCGGTTTGTTGGGATTTATTTCGTCGCTCTTTGACAATACTGGTAGCCTATAATATTTATTTTGACCCCAATTGATGATGATCATGACAACAACAAAAACAGATGACAAGTGACGAGTGTCAACAACATCAACTAGAGTACCTTGACTACTCTGATAAAACGCATGTGTGGTGTGTATTCAATTATAATGTTTTCCCCGCCTCGATGGTTAACAGACCGAAAACACTAGACCGTGATGTTAAAATTATAACTTTACAGGCTGTAATAATAATTATATCGCAATCATAATTACTGTCGCTAAAGTGTACGATAAAAAAAAAACCAAATAGGTGCGTTAACCTTCCCGGCGGTTTAAGGTCGGCTGTTTACCATTTCCCCAAACAACAACCGCCGTGAGGACTGCGAGGAGTGCGTTACATCAACTTGGGCGGATATTATCGGTCTCCTGTGTTCGCGGATATTGTGCAATACCATGTACAAGGAGTAACTTGATTATGGCCACAGTAATTACGGTGACAGATTATAAGAGAACATATAATGTTGGACAATTATATTGAGCAACCTGATAAATAATAACAATAATAATATGAAGGTATTATTATTTTTGTTACAATAGTAAAAATATATGTAATTTAAAAATCAATATAATAATACGTATACGGATAAAATATTATAATTTCGCCTTTATAACTGGTACAAGGTCGGCGCCGCTGCTGAGGTGACACAATATAATATTATTATCAACCGTAAGTACACACCACAGCTATGCGTTATTATAATGCTGCAAGAAAAACGACTTGGGACATCGTTCAGTTTTATTAAGTAAACAAGTCAATACAACCAAGAATTCGACATACGTGTACTTTATTATTACTAAATCGGTTGATAATATAAATAATACTCAAAACACATACAACTGGCGCCAAAGTCAGAGCGTTTGCTAGATGGTGAAATCCCAACTACTATAATCTAGTCGAGTGAAAAATAACAAAATTATGTGCTTTAGGAACACTCAATAATAATTGTTAAGTAATGCCTACCTACTGTTTGTTGTTAACGAAAAATGAAATGTTTCAATGTCAAGTTCATACACAGCAGAATATCAATTGCAAATCTACTTATTTTTATAGTCAATACATTTTTGTTCAATTACCAACGCGCTGGAGTGTTGGCCAAGGTTACTGGCTAAAAATGAATTTGGCGCCAACGAGCTAACGCCTGCGGGGAAAATACTTTACTGTACTCAATTACATTATATTATTATATTTGCAGCAAATCTAAAACGCACCGACTCTCACCTGCGGATAAGTGATAACCGATGACCGAAAGTACTTTTTGATTATTACATGGTGTTTGATCGTGCGCAATTCGGCCGGGGATATTTTCACATGTTGTGTAGGTGTATATGTACAATAATATTATATTTTGAGCAATTTCCCTTCGATCAAATAAACCAACAACATCAATGGAAATTTAACACATGTAAGTACGTGACACACGCGTCTGTGACCAAGAGGCAAATACCGTATGATTTACAAAACTGGCCATTCCGTCTGCACAACAAGGTGCAATCTTTGGCAATACCCTGTTCGATAACTAAGCATGTAATTAGCCACATAATTTCCACGGACGACCGAAAACAATGGTCGATCGAAATCGCGTTACACGCCTTTGCCCAGCACATTATATAGTTATAGGTATATTTTTTTTTTTTTTGTACTTGGTGTGCCTGTGTAATATCATAATTCACCGGACAGAAGTTGTAGAGTAAATCATATTATGGGACGTTGTGTTCAGCTTAACATGGGAATATTATGTGTTTGCATGTAAAATATTATATCCAACAAATTGTTACAAAAACCAATAAATAAACAAAAAAACTAACTCACATAATTTATTAATTTATACTAATGTTACAAATAGCGTTGTTCCTCGATCCGAAATCTTAATAGTAAACATATATAGCTGTTATCTTCTTCATCTCGTATAATGTATATTATGTTCTTCAGCCGTCTTATGTTACCGAAATATTATGAAAACCCACAAATCGTTTATCATACGGATGAAATATTCTATTCCGTCTTTTGCTGTATCGTTCAAAATGTGTTTTCAACTGCGAAGCTATTGGGAAATAATGATAACTCCTAATGTAATAATCTAAACCAACATGTATTATAACAACCGGACTATGGTTATTTGTTATAGGAACGATTCTGTGTTCATAAATCAACGTTCGTCGTTACCTATGCGGTTTTCTTAAACTGTTTAAAAAAAACAAACTAAAAAGGCGCGGCGAGAATATAGTGTAGTATTTCTCGACAACCTTGACCATCATCGAAAAGTGAAAAGAAGAGTGGAAAAAAAAAATTAGAAAGAATCAACCAAACTGGATAATAATCTGGGACGACGGTCGCGCGTGTATGACTCTCACCCCACGCAGTTTGCATCAGTTGAGATAAAAAAAAAAAAGCGCATTTCCTGTTATCCTTTTTTTTTCATAACAGTTTAATATCCGATTTGTTATTACCGTTGTTGTTGTTTTCGATTAAACGATTTCCAACAGTTCTAATTATATATTAACTTTGGCCTCAAATGTTTCTAATAATAGTATATATTTTTTTGTATGTCCTTAATCTAAAATATCTCGTTTTAGGGTCATGGTTATAGGAATGGTGTAATGGGATTCACTTAAACATTTTTTTTATAAAAGTTTTTTAAGAGTACAATTAGAGTTCAACAGTATTAAGAAGTTTTAAAGCTTTTCCTTAATAAAATGTAGAGTTTTAAAAAATGTTCAACAAAACATGTATTGGACGCTTTTCTACAAACTATCCTGTCTAATTATAATTATAATTATAATTTCTTGTTAAAAATAAATGCATATTGAGGCTGGAAAAGCGGTTAGGTTTTCGTTAAAAGATTTCTTTTTAGAACATAATTCATCTTCATCACTTTTAGGTTTATGTTGATTTTTCGCAAGACCAATATCTCAATTAAAGGTAGGTATGTCTCTGACTAGCTGCGAGTCATATTACTTGGTAATAAAACGATATCGTTGCTCATACGAAATCCGGTAAAAACGGGCTAAAAGGGCATGATAGCGCTAAGAGGCCGACGCAATTATTTAGTTATTTATTTATAATGTTATAAAAGCAACAACATAAGTAAAGCAGTATTACTCGCACGTGTAAAACGTGTAACGAATTCTGAATCATAATTTTTCGGCTAAAACCCGTTATGAAATATATTCTAGTACACACCATCGACGGTTGATGATCATTATTATAATAAATCATTACAAAAACGAGCCGGTCGCGTGTGCGTATCCGATATCGGCGTAAAAATGTTATTAACGACTTTATCATACACACAGAAACAAGTGCGCACCGGCTATACATAATATAATAACATGTGCACAGTAGTAGTAGCGGATCTACATATTAATATTTCATGGTATTTGTGTCCGCACGTATACTCTGTTGTATGTCTATTGTAAAACGATTGCGTTTGGTCCGGTGAACCCCGGCATGCCCCCCCCCCCGTCGCCCCCTGGGAAATTTCCCGTTTTCCGCGTGTCGAATAAAAACCACTTAAATATTGTAACAAAATGTACCGGCCGAAGGCTAGATAAATCATAATTACCCACCACCGGTCTAGTTGTAAAATTATAAAAATACCGAATAAAAATAATAACAATGTCGATAAAATTGCGCAAACTTTGGTCGTTGGTATACCTATTGCATTGGTAATAATAACGTTCATAGTCACGCCGCACAGTTCGGCAGGAGTTTTGGGGAGAAGCCCTTGAAAATTCTTATCTGTTTCTTGATATAGCTTCGAGGTGTTTTCGAATTGTTAATAAATATATGTCGCTCAAGTACATAGTACAATACGATATTGCAAGTAACATTATATTATGTAATTCCACAGATACTCGAGTATGAATTTATCGAAAACTGGCAATATACATTAGAATGTTTTTCAAACCGTGGAAATGTGATAAGATACATTGTAAAGGAAAAATGATCATAATTGCCCTTCTCTTTAATGATAATAATTTTTACCTTAGTCGGGCTTGTTACCCACTCTGATCGGTTGCATAATCGGTTTTGTTTTCCGTGTCTGTTTACAGATGTGATGAGCAGGCAACGATGATATGGAGGCGGCAGCCAGCGTGGTACAGATGACAGGAGGTGGCGGTCGGGTGGGCATGAACACGGACATGTTCCTGTTGCCGTCCAGCCCTTTTACGCCGTCGCCCGGTGTTGCGATAATCACCACGGGATCGCCTACCTCGGGCGTCCACCAGTATGCGGCGTCCACGCTCACGTTGTTGCGGCGAGACGCTTGGGTGTTACCGGTGCTCGTACTGTCCGTACTCACCATGACGTTGATATTAACCTTTGAGGTATGAATACTGTATAATGTCATAACACTAGTTCGTATTATGTTACTTGGACGGAAAGAACGCGCTATGACGGCCCGTTTGTTTTTTTAGGAATGTTAACATATAACAGTATTAAAAACGTGAAATGATTTTTTAATAGATATTCGTGCTGTGCAAGACCAGGAAGACGGAGCCGAGCCGAAGACATTTATTTTTGGGACAGGCGTTGCTCGGCGGACTGTTCATGTGTGCGGCTGTCAGCGGGCTCATGTGCACACAACCGACAGTGTTGACGTGTGCCACCGTCAGGCTGTGCACAGGACTGGGATATTCCATGGTGTTTGGCACGTTACTGGTCAAGTGCGTTTTTCTAATAAGCCTCAACGGCGGCGTCTATCTACCGGCACCGTATCAGGCGCTATTGCTCTTCTTCACGGTGGCTATACAACTGGCTATCGGCGTCCAATGGCTCATCTATTCACCGCCACAATTGTTACCGTCTCAAGTAAGCTGAACACATTTTTCAACCTTTACTCAAGCAATAGCTAATATTATTTTTAGCTGACTTAGTGGAATCTTTATAGGATTTATGGATCTCTTTCGACACAGCAATTATTGATATCAACAGTAAGCCGTATGCTTTAACTTATTTTCTTCAGATTTTCTGTTCCCATTTGAGTCCGTCTACGGCCTGGTAAATTGTTGTAATCGAAGAAAGCGCTTTTCGCGACGCCACGTTGCTCACACTCCGTCTAACTCTTTTTTACACGGGTGATGCTCCGAAGCATCCGCATCCCGTCATTAACTGGGTCACGTGTATAAATACTTAGCGTACCATATTCGCACACTGTTTTATAATGCTCGGATGTACTCGTATAGCTCATATAATTTAAATCCAGTTGCCTACACGTGCGGCAAGTACAACTATTTAGTAGTAAAAATGTATACAAATTGTCCGAATAGGTAGTTTATTTGAGTTTCAGGCCACGGATGAAAGTTGTTTTTATTCGTTTCTATTAAATCATAAAATATAGTAATTTCCTTGTTAGAAGTCGTTAGAATTTTCTTACCAAAAGATTTTAGGATACTATTTAAAAATTAAGTCCCATTAAAAATATATGGCCCTTAAGTAATTTAATAATTATATTAACCGTTTTTCAATTAATATTTTAGTGGGCCACTAGTCTGGACAACAGCTGCGACACCAAATACCAGCACATGTTGGGCTCGATGGTGTACGCGGCCGGACTGCTTTTGGCCGTCACCGTGTTGGCAGTCAAGTCGAGGCACATACGCGACAATTACCGCGAAGCCATGTACATCGGGCTGGCCGTCGGGTGCACCGCACCGCTGTGCGTGGGCTGGGCGGTGGCCGGCCTGTGGGCCACGCAGCCCGGCGACCAAGACGGTTGTTTAGCCTTGGGCCTGGGCGCCACGGCCGCGCTCGTTTTGCTCGTCATGTTCATGCCGAAGGGCCGACAGTTGGCCGCCATGGGCCGGGACGGACTGTACGACGAGGACAAGTTGAGCACGCTGAGCCGACCGGCGTCCCCGTCGTTTTTCCATTTCAAACCGTCGTTTGTGACACCGCTCAAACACACATCCACCATAAACACTTTTGGAGGTAACCAGTTTGATAACAATTGTTAATCTTAAACATTTGGATGACGTTAAAAAAACAATATTATACCATGTAAATTGTCGGTTTTCTTTATACTGTAATTAATTGAAAACAAAGAAACGGCAACACACGGTGTAGTATAATATTGTTTTGCATATGTTTTCAAATTTTTAAAGCTATACTACTACAAAAAAGTAGGACAGTCTTAAGTAGTTGTATGGCTAGTTTTACACCTAAAACTAAGTCATATCCCGCAAAGCAAAAATAAAAACTTGTATTTTTTAAATGTTGAGAACATTTTTTTATGTTGTTTATGAACTTAGGTATTTTTAAATAAAATAAAAAAATTACAAGGAATGTGTTTCGACTTTAGAAAGTAAACTTTTAGTTTTCACGTTATTCAGCTTTTTATATACTTTTTCAACTTTATACCTAAATAGTGGTCACAACACTAACACGTTTTTTTGTAATTTTTTTAATGGGTAGGTATAAATCTTTTTTTTTTTTCTTCTAACCTATCCCGTTTTATATATAAAAAAAACTATCAGCTATTGTAATGGCGTCGAACATCGCACGTTTTTCGATAGGCACTTCTTTGTTTAGGTCAATAATTATTTGAATATTAAAAAAAAAAGTGATAATAATCCGTTTTACCGGTTTTACCAATACCGCTTATTAAATGAAAAACACAGTCGAGACGAATGTCTGTATGGTTTCGGTAGGTACGCGTTAAGTGTTATGATTTTTATATTTTACACGCACCGTGATCTATGACTGAATTAGAATATTTTGTCGGTGGCAAAAAAAATCGTCGGCCTACAGCATGATTGCATTAAAAATAATAACAAGGCGTTTTGCTCTGAAATTGCTAGCACAAACGAATCTCGCTGGTTTATTGGAGCGCACACCCTCATTTTCATGTGTCATATATCGCTTAACTACTTTTGATGGCCGACGACAAGACACTTAAGTAACACACGTTATGGCCTCGTGCACACTTCCTCCGAATTATTGTTCATTATTCGTTTCGTCCGACTTAAACTCGCCCGAAAGCTACAAAAACAAGTACAGTTTCAAAAAAAACCCGAAAAACCAAAATTACTTTTAAGACCTATGAAAAAAAAATGTCTTCTATATTTTGTAACAGGATTTTCTTATTCCTATTTGTGTTTTATTAAGCTTCTTCGTAGAGTGCAAAAATACATGTTATACCTATTTCCCACTTTTTCAGATCGAGTAGCGCTCGTTGCACCGCCGACTTATCCACATCATTATTATCCATACTGTTATTACCCGCACCATGGAGGAGGAGGAGGGGCAGCTCACCAACAAGCCATGTATTCGAGATGTCCACCGGGTAAGCGAAAAATCTACATCTTAATACCAGAAATAATGTTATAATATGTATATAAATATTTTTTGTTTGTTTTCTTTAGACATGTGCAATTTTTCCGGCATGGACAACAGCATATACACAACGATGGAACCCACCATGTCTAATAATCCAAATGTCTTTTTTCACCGTTCCGGCATCCATCCGGGCATGATGTACTGATTAATTGTTTAAGAGAATATTTTTTTCCATTATGTTTATTAACTATTATTCTTAAAAATTAGAGTATAAAAACAACACGCTATGCCTATATACTTAAAGTAAACAAAAAAAAAAAACACCGTTAACTAAAATATAGAAACTAATCTGGAAAAAAAACGAACTGCACAATATAATGTGTAAAATGTGCTCGAAATGACTGTGTCTGGATCTCAATCGTTTCTCTAGGCATCATTTCCCCCCCCCCCCCCAAAAAAAAATTGCCTTTTTTTAATAAAATATGTTTAGCCATCAATTATAATTTTAGTACATTTATTTGCGATAATATTACAATATAATTTTAATGCAACTTTATATTTTTCGCATGTTTTTTTTGCGCAATTCTATATTATTATTGTTGCCATTGTTTTTTTTTTACTGTAGAGATATATTCATTTATTAATGTAATATAATGTGTACATTCATACTGCATACATACATATATACACCTGCTTATATGGCTAATTCATATATTGTTCACTCATTTTAAGATACAATATATACTACATTATATAGGTATAAAATATTTTTATGTATGTATATTACTGCAAGCTATTATATTATTGTAGTTATTAAGAAATAAATTTATGTTTTATGAGTGTGATTTATCATTGAGTTGATATACCTATTTGTGTACAAGCGAGATTATTACATACTAATTATAATTTACATAAATATATAATAGTTAACATATACAATAATACCTCCACATGAGTAAAACTATTCTATAAATAAGATACTATTAATTATAATTTGTTACAAATATCTATCTATGTAACGTTATAATTTTATTATTAATTTTTTAAGGGGATTTTTTTTAGTAGATACGGCAGGGGGTTTTATGAATTGCTGTGCCAAACGATAAACGCTATTAAAATGGCGGACTAAAATGTATTTTGTTAAGTATTATTATTATAATTGTAATTTTCAAATATAGTTAGACATAAGTAGATCAATATAATATGAAATAGTACTATATAATATGTAATATACTTACCATTTGTATTGTATTTTTGTGTTTATGGCAGTATACTTATGATTATGATGTGAATATTGTGTCCTAAATTAAATTTTCAATGGATAATATTAATACATTTTACATTATATATATACAAGAATAATAATTCTAATACTTTTACGTTTGTTTTGGTAGTTTTATATATTTTATTTTCAAATTATGATTACCATTCGATGTAAAATATTATTATTTATTATTTACCGTTCAATATTATAATATTATACCGACCAGTTATTATAAAACATGACAGTTGACACTTATGTGTTATGAGTAGAAGGTAACAATGTCTACAAATTATATTGTTTATTAGGCTAATATTGTAAATCATTGCTCATTTAAAACAATAAGAAAAAATTGTTTTTATTAGAAATTAGTTATTATTTTTGTATTGCTAACTTATAAATACTTACATTTAGTGAAATATACAGTACAATATTATCATTAATAACTACCTATACCACTGACCTGCATCCAACAAAGCCCATCACGTTTAAAATGATCTTGTAGATCTTGTATACCTATATAGTACATTATAGTTTATACTTTACATTTTGAATTACTAATGGGAAATTCTACTAACCCATCAATTGTATTAGCTTTCCTTTATGCCTTTTGTTCCATTTTTTTAAAAAGTATTCCTGAAAATGATATAAAAAAAAGAAAAATATTTTGCTGTAAGTTTTCTTTTAACTTTTAAGCCTAAAATAGAATTAAATAATAATAAAGACGTGATATTATCGTTATCGCCTGCTTAGGCTTATGGACACGCCAAAGAATTTGAGTTTTTTTCGAATTTCGTGGGTGTACCTTATTGGAAGACGGCAATAAGGAGGAATACATTACTTACATCAAATCAAGCACTAAAAAAATGTCTAGAACTAACAAACCAGACATATAAAAAAATGTTTTTTCAATTATTTTATTTTGAATTTAAATAGTAAGAATTTTAAGTAAAATGTAGAAACTGAGCAGATAAACTTAGTACAATTATTTCGTCTGTAGTTAATTCCGTACCCTTACAGTTGTGTATAATTAAGTTATTATTAATATTTAAAATAAATTATTACATGTTTTGCTTACCGGTTACTTCGTATTAGTGATTGTATACTCGTTTCCAAATCACCTATGAGGTAGAGTATTTGGCTTGTTTTTTTTTAATGTGGTATCTCCATCTACGACGATGCTCAAATTGTATTTACTGTACAAACCCCAGAAGTGTGTGGTAGGGGCGTTTCAAGCAATTGTGGATTTACGCATAGATGTCGATCCGGGCATAACTTAATGACTAACTTAACGACAAAAATATCCCGGCATCGACAGATTTTGCGTATAAGAGAGTACAAAGGAGGTTATCCAGTAGGATCACGGGATAGATATTGGTAATTTGATTTGTAGTAATAAAAATGATAGCTAATAAATAGGGATAGGAGGGGTAATCTGTGATGTCTTTATGAAATTATTTTTAATATATGTATGTGTGCTTTTAAATGTGTCCTACTCTTCCATATCCTATTACTACAATAGTATGCTAGTGTTAATAAGCTTTCACGTACCTTATGGCTCAGTTATAGAGTGGAAATGCGTTGTCTCGCTGTCCTCCGTTGTTCCTTTGTTGTCTGTAGTGACTGAAAATAGAAGTCCCGTACGACACGCACTTACCGAACTCGTTAGTTTCTAATAGATACCGAAAGTTTTACTTAATAACACGCGTACTACTAGGTGTAATGTATTAATGATCCGGCTCGGAGTGTATTCCTGTTCGTCCAAATAAAGTTACCCTTTTCAGATATATTTTTAAGCGTTTTTAACTTGGTGATCCTCTAGCATGCTACGTGATAACTAGTCAGAGGACTACACAAATTCGTTTAGAAGATCAGACTACTAGGCTGCGATATTTAGAAGCAACAGACCTTAAGGGTCCATATTTAACCTCACTAAACAGCCGCTACTCTAGTTGTCTTCCCTTAGCTAAACACTAATTAATTAACTACTTAACTACTTAAATTTTCCAATTGCTGACGAGAACATCCAAATTCCAAGTGAATAATTTAATTCAAAGGAATTGGATCCCTAGAGCTGCTTTACGCTTCTCAAGAGAATTAAATGAACCAGGTCAGTCTCTCGGACTATGTTAAGATAGCTAAATTAATAGACGAATTATTAAATGAAACAAATAAATAAACACAATGTTTTGTTGTGCATAGGACTTGGAACATACACTGAGTCAAAACCATAAACAATTACGAAAAGAATCGGTTAACTACGCACACCCTGCCTTAACAATTAAATAATTGATAAGTTGCAGACGATTGTAGCTAAACGACTGAGCGGCGACAAGCCCGTCGTATTGTCTTATATAGGGAGTAAATGCGTCATTAGCAGGGGGTGAGGTATGAAATGTTTCCTAGGATAATCATCCAAGCGTACAATTGTATGGTATGAGTCAGCATATGTTATGTGTCCTGTTTATTTTAATACATCCTTTAATACTTTTATAAAATACTGTATTTGAAATAATATATAAATAATTGTGTGCGATATTATTATTTGTGCATATAATTGATCTTATATAATTGACATTTTTGATTAGTGCATATATTGAATTTAGTGCATATAATCTTATCATATATAGAGGTGTTTTTAGTGCATATAATTTCATGTATTGTGTGTTGTGTATTATGTATTATGATATTACATGTAAATGATTCAATGAGTACAATATAATCATTACAGATTTACAAAAAAATCTTGTTGGTGTAAAAATGTTGTGACTTGATTAACTGGACGCAAATTTTAAAGTAAGTAATTAATTTTTACTGAGCAGAAAATGTGAGAGGTTTATGAACTATATAACTAGAACGATCACAACGCGAAAGTGAGAAGCAACAAACGAAAAAAATTGTTAAAGTAGTTTAGTTCAATTATCTAAAATGACAATAGTGCTTAAATGTGTAAATTTACTTAAATAAGTAAATTATAATTGTGCGGTTGTCCAAAATAATTTATAAAGGGAAAATTGAGAGTAACATTTTACTGCCATTGCATCATCGTACATAGACCTAATCCACACAGTACTTGACTTAGTAGAGGGGAGGGGAGGTAACTCTATTGTTTAGATATTTTAGCGTAGGTACCTACTAGGTATCTTTATTTTACTTCCAAGTGAGACCAGAATATATTATTCAGAAATGTATTGATTTAGTTGAAAAAAGTATTTCCAATAATTACACTCCCTTTTTATAAATTCGTCTGAGGAATACATTACTTATACTAAATCAAGCACTAGAACAAAGTAATAATTGGATTTGGACTTTAGATTTGGTATCTAAATTATTATATATTATGAACTGTAGATCTTAACATTACACAGTTTCATCACAGTGATTTTTTCAGTTTTAAATGTTTAAAAATTACATTTCGAGGCCATTTCAACTTTTCTATTAGCATATTATGTATATTATCACTTACTTCATAACTTTTTGATGATCCGAAAGAATCATTTTTAAATATTTCTGTATTTTCAACTTGTGAAAACTAATTAATAATAATTAATTGAACTAATAGAATTTATTGTAAGATTCAATTTATAATAGTTTATTTTTAAGGCGGAGCTGCGGCAGTATTGTGTTTTAATTTTTGTATTTAAATTTTGAGTTGTAGCAACTATATGGATAAATAATCATAGCTGAAAGGTACGTGAATTTCATTTGACAAAAATTAAAAATCATAATCAAGAAAAATGTATAACATTTTTTAAAAAGTTATACATTTTATTATACAGTCTTATTAGTTCTAAATTTGTATGGAATATTTTTTAGGTAAAGTAGTAACGACAAACGTTGACAAACAAAAAAATAAAAACCCTTTTCCTTAGAATAGGTAGAAAAAGGGTAAATTACACTTTGACTGTAGTTACCTAAACCATTTATACATTTTTTGGATTGTTTTACTCATAAAGAAAAAATTATAATTTAAAATTTGCATTTAAGGGAAACAGAACAGCTATTACATGTGACATAGCACATACGCATAAAAGCAGAGTATAAAATATAAATTACCTTCTGCCTGAAAATTGATGTGGTTTTTTTCAAAGTTCTCAAGTGCATTATTGATTATTTCTAATTGACCGGCAATGGCGTAGAATAAAGATATTACCACTACATGCGATAACACCATTATGATACTTATCGTGTAGACAATCAACGTCTCGACTATGTGGAACATCAAGAAATACTCGTTGTACACGTCTGAGGATACCATGAAATAGAAATTAAACACGCTTAGGCGGTAGCTGTCGTACGAGCCGTCGCGGTTTCTTAAATTGACATAGCTTTCACTAATAAAAAGGGGACCCACAGCCCAAAGTCCAGTCGCGGTAAATGACATGGCGCATATTGCATAAGTGATTCGTATCGTTCGGGTCTGCCACACTTTCAGTATTGTTTTGTCGTAGAACTCGTAGGACAAAAAGTCGAATCTAATCACGTCCAAACAGTCCCAGATCTCATCGGATCTCTTAAACATCGCTGTCGATTTGTAAATGAGAAACATAAGATTTTGGCATGTAGTGTACACTAAGGAAAACTGAGTCAAGTCGTTGCTCCAATGGTACATTCCCGTCAGTCCACTGACGGCCGCTGTGATTCCCACGAGCACCATACCGAACATGGTCGATAATTGATAGATATTGTAACCGTAGTACTTAGCATTTTTCGGATGTAGCGTTTGACACAGACCCAACAATTTGGCCAGACGTACGTTAAAGACATAATCTTTATAGTCATCGGGCCCGAATTCCAGCATTTTGGTACGGCCTATTGGCGGTCGAAAATTGCAGTGTGCAGAAAACTTAAATTTAATGAGCAGCGTCGGTTTAGTCGAGTAGATTGATTATGTGACTGATGTGACGGGCGAAGAACAACTGATACAACTGAACAACACATATCGCCAAGCTATTTAAAAACACTTAGAGCTTGCTTATTTATTATAATAGACTCTGGTTTTAATTAACGGTGTCTAGGCATTTTTCCACACTAACACCCGTTATTAGTAATATTCTAAGAAATGCAATGGTGCACTCTAATGAAAAATGTAGTCTACTTCTAAGAAATGTTTTGTGTTACATTTTTAATACATAGGTTGACCTATTCGTTATAGTTAAAATATTCATAGGGTCTAAGCGGTTTTTTAATAATTTAACTATAACCTTAGGTAAAGACCACATACTAAAAAGTCGCTGCTTGTGTGTTATAATCATTAAATTTCCTTATAAGTTCTAATTCTAAATAATATTTGCTTAGCTCAGAGCACACTAACACAATAATGTGTAGAAATCAAAACATTCGTGAATAATAATAACATATATCATAAGTAATAATGAAAATTAAATTGTATTTTAATTCAACACATAATTATATTGTTGATCCGAAGAATACCACTTACTATTTTAGTGTACATATTTTGTTAACTCTATATTGAATCATATATTTATTTAGTGGGAGGAGGGTGGAGTGTAGTTTTATTTTTACTTAGGCGCATTACTCTACCGGTCTTCAACACTAGTCCTAAATTTAAAACCCTTATAATAATAGAGATTATTCAAAAACAAAAATAAATTTGAATAAGTCACGGACATACGGTTTAGTACATATAATACAATGGTTCGGTCGTCCCAGGTCGGTGGCTGTTTAATTTTGTGCTGACTGAGAAAATTATTAAGACAAGATCAATATTAATCAATGGCTTGACCTAGTGATGTATGCGGTAGTTCTTAAAGGATTGTTGAACTGATGAAAGTAAGAAATATCTTAGTCAATAATTGTATTAATCTAAAGTTAGTTAAATATGTCTTATTGAGTTTTAAAGTCTTAGAGACTTTATGGTGGTAACTTTTTTAAATTTTGTACCAACTTTTAAAAATGTTTAACAGAAGATACAAAATAGAGTTAGAAAAATATGCTAAAAATAAACTCATATGTTTTTTCAAATAAATATATCCATTGATGTTTTTGAAGTTAAAAAATAAAATATTATACTCAACAAGCATCTATTTTTATCAAGCAATAATTTTTAGTAAAATAATGACTTTATTTAAAATCTGGTCGACATTCGGTTTGACATCGTTCGACAGTTGTATTATAAAGAGTAAACAACGAGTATTACTAAAGGTTATAATTTGTTTAAATAAAAATATAAGTCATAACTAAGTATTGTTATTTGTATATTGTTCACGTAAAGAATTATATTAATATAAATAATAGTTTTTTTTTTTGCACACAATTATTTTTAATGAGGTAGTATATTATATAAGAACTTACAATTTTAAATCGGTAGTGCAAACAGGGTATCATATATGAATAGCGTAATGCTTCATTAATAATTAGGCAATATTTAGGTAATAACTAGGCAACCCTCAAATATGGTACATCATATAGGTAGGTAGTGATTTCTTAATTAATAAAATACGAAAAAAACCGTTTTAAACATGTATTACCCAAACACGAGCTTCAAAATAGGTAAATATACAATAAATATTTATTTTTAAAAAACCTGGACAATAAGAAAATATACATAAATAAAACTTAAAAAATACAGCACACACAACTGTTGTATAAATAAAATATAAATATATAATATATTAAGTAAAGAAACCTGTAATTGTTCGTATAATTATTGACTAATATAACTTAAAAAATATGAGAATCAATGTTACAACATAAAGTTCACATTTGTATTTCAATTACAATATTTTGAAATCTGATAAAGTGAAACAGTGTGTAGTATTTAAATACGTACAAGGTACGATAGAGCTTAACTGAGTTTTGGCTTTATTTTGAACACTGTATGTATGTCTTTGTATGTATTAACCATATTACATTTTAGAATGTAATATGGTTTAGAATTACATTTTTAGAACAATAAATAAAATCTAGAAATTTTAAAATGATGCGGACTACTTTTAAATTTACTGTTTTGTTTAGTCCGCTTCTGAATATATCCTACTAAAAATCAATTGCTATAATATCTTTAAAAAATATTAATTTATTAATTTTTTGATAGCAAAATAAGTTTTAGTCTTTTTGATAATAAAATATTATTTAAAGTAAAAAAAATTATAGTTACAAAAATGAGTTTATGGTAATATTATAAATTTGTTATTTTATTTTCTGTTCATGCACATTTTTTATGCATTTGATTACATAATTGATTATTAGCCCATGCACTACAATTATATGTAGTCTAATTACAATTATCTAACGATATAGACATATTTTAGAATGAAATATAAATTAATTAATTATGCAATTTAAAATTAATGTAACTGAATACAACATCATATTCCGACTGTATTGTTCAGGGCACCTTATCCGCAGTGGTATAGCAATGTTTGTTTGGTTTTAAATATGTGTTCTCATGTTGAACACTCTGAGAATTTGTTCGGCATTTAGCTAAACATAGTTCGAAATGATCATTGATAGCCGCAAATAGTACTCGAAAAGTTTCCGAGGCTTTTCCTAATACCGTTTGTAAAAGCTTTCTCTGTAAAAGGTACAAATATAGGTGTTATAACAAAAAATGAGTTTTTACAATAATAAAATATGTAGTAATTATCTTTACCTTTTGTGGATCTAGACAGCATGATACACAGTGTTCGTACAATACACAACAGCCGTCTTTATTACAGGTATCACATATATAACGTTTATCGGAAGATCCACAACAGTTATTAGCTTGAACATCACCTCTTAGACAGAGGTAACCTAAAAAAAAAAAAAAAATAATAGTTTATATTATATTAACATAATATATTTTATCAAACAATCAGTAGTATTACATATTATAGTAGATCGCTTAGCTCTACTAAGCTTAGTAAAATCGTAGCTCTCTTGTAAAATCGTCATTATGCTTATGACATTTTTTAATAAAGTCATCAATATATTAAAAATCTTAGAAATTACTATTTGTTAATAAACTCAAATAAAACTTAAATATTTCTAAAAGTAATCATACCAACTGGGACAAGATATTTATGAAGTTTAGTGGAATATTTTAATGTTAGCATAAGTTGTATTGGTTTTAATAATAGTAACAGAAAACAGTAAGCGGTTTATCAAAAAGTACAAATTTGTTATGTGTGTATAACAGTTAAAATAAGTTTAACCAGTAAAATTAATAAATTCATTGTTTTCTTTTAAATGAAACTACCTCTGTCATCTGCAACATATTCTCTGCCTTGAACAGTGTTCCTGCAATTTTGAGGCACAGTATTGTTCGATTCTCCTTCTGCTGAAATCCATACGAACGAGCTGTGATCTACTTTTGTCGGTAACCTCCATGTGTCTAAAGGCTTGGGTGGCTAAAATATTAAAAAACTTGTTTATATAAACCACACAAACATGTAATAATAATATTTTATTTTTTTATAAACGCTTCATACTTACGATTACTAAAAAACTGACGATGCAATATGTTAGCGAGCAGCCGAAAATTACAGACAGCACGATTTTTCTTCTAATAAAACTGAATAGAAAATCTTTCCACATGACAGGTTATCTGCATCATACATTTTCGGAGACGTTTCGTGACTGGAAAAATAGGCAGATATTAAACTACATTGTTAGGGTTCATTATTAAAAAATAAACCTATTGCATGTACATCGGAATAAAAAAATAAACTACCTTTATAAATAAACTATCGCGATAACATTACTGCGCACTAATAACTAATAACGCTACCGTCTAATCAAAAAATTTCATACCGAAACATTATCCTCAGAATTCAGAAATTCGATAACACAACACATCAACGGTCAAACACTATGTAATTTGTATTATTACCTATTATTATGTTTATCGAGTATCAAATAATTACATTATATGATAATAATTAATAATAACGAGCATTTTTCCTTAGCATAAGAATGTTTATTCTTTGTGTTATCACTTGAGACTTTGGAGAGATAATATATTTTGATAACTTACTACTTGGTGATATGATAATCGGTAGGTTTGTTTATGAAACTGGCATTACAACAGTGTTGATCATGTTTGTCAGTTGATAGCACTGTAGTTTAGTTAGCACTTGGTTTTATGTAATGGCATTCAGTATAAATTATAATTTATAATTATTTGTTGTAAAACATAGAAAAAGGTATATTTAGTTGGTAATATATGTATACACGTTTTCAGTTTTTTAAGAGTTTGTAGTGCCGAATTAGAAAATATTCGAAGTAAGAGTTTTAAGACGTTTCAAATATTATACTTTTACTACTGTTCGTAAAACAGTACAACAATATACATTCTTGACGCGTCTGGGCCGGTAATTATTGCACACGTACCCACACTTGGGTTAGTTGTAACAATTTTTATAATATTTAGTTATTTTCCAAATGAATGTAGGTATATTTTTAAGATCACTTTTTCTTAGCTACCTTTAAAAACAAATAAATAAATACACATTTTAATTGAAAAAAAAAAAATATATTTTACTTTACCCAAGTCTATGTAGAGTAAATTGTTACAAACTGGAAGCAAATGCTAATACCTAATATGAATTTGTATTTTATTTTTTATACATTCTTCTCTCTTCTTGGGTATTAACGGCCACTAGGACCATCCCGTCAAACAACCAATCCTCCAAGTCTCTCTGTCAGCTGCTTTGGTTTTCTAATCTGAGCCTCCATTTAACGATTCTGCGTCTCTCTACCACGTCTTCCCATCTTAAACGGGGTCGTCCAAGAGGCCTTTCCAGTAGTGGGTTCTGACTACGCCAGGCGTGACCAGCCCACTGTAACCTCCTACTCTGGATTATATTAAATATGTTTGGATGATGAAAGAGTTCCTCTAGTTCTTTGTTTTTTCTTATTCTCCATCCGTCAGTTTCCTCGTTTTTTACTGGACCAAAGATCTTTCTTAGGATTTTCGTCTCCAGAATAATCAATTTATTTTCTTCCGTTTTTCTTAATGTCCATGTTTCTGCTCCGTATGTAATTATAGGGCGTAATAGTGTAATATACAATTGTATCTTTACTTCTCTCGACAGGGACCGTGACCCTAGTATCTTTGTAAGTCCGTAAAGACATTTGTTTCCCGACAGGATTCTTGCTGCTACTTCCTTTTCAGTTTCATTTTTTTCGGTCAACACCGAACCTAAGTATTTAAATTGTTTGACTCGATTGAATTCGTGGTTACCCACTCTTAAGGAAGGATTCATTCTCGTACTATCTCTTCTCCCCACCACCATGTGTTCGGTTTTGCAAGCCAACCTTCTTCGCTGCCTCCTCCAAACGGCCGAACAGTGTTCTTAGGCCATCGTGTGATTTATCCATGAGGACCAAATCGTCTGCATATGCCAATAATGCCACGGAAGACTCTTGTAGTGACACCCCCTCCTGGGGTCCGATATTAGATTCCCTAATAACTTTTTCTAATACTAGATTAAATAGAACAGGTGACATAGAGACCCCCTGTCTTAGGCCTGATTTCACTATTATTGGGTCGGTTTCAGCTTCTCCTACTCTTATTTTTATGAATGTTTCCATAATGCTTGTTTCGACACTAGCTTTACTAATTTTTGTGGGAAGTTATACTCTCTAAGAATATTTATCAAGCTTTTGTGATGGATACTGTCGTATGCCTTCTTGAAGTCGATAAAGGCATTTCCTTGTCGAACTCCCATGTCATTTTTTATACATTATTTATTTTAAAAATAAAAAATATTAAGTATTTTTTATTGTAAACTATTGTAATAAAAACGGTATTTTTATAATATTACAATTGTAACAATATTAAAAACAAAAAAATAAAACGGACATTAAATAAAAATCAATTTTCAAACCTTTTTAGAAAACAGAAACAACAGTCTTAAAACAAAATAAAAAATTACCGTTTTTACAAACTTTAGATAATATAACGTTATATTTTTTATATAACAACTCGCTCCTCCTAACAACTAACCCCCCCCCCCTCTCACATACCCTTTAATGAGATACAAGGATATGGTGGTGGGGGTAGAGCATGGGGTTTGGTAAATTAAGTGAACAAGAAGAAAATGTCGATTAACATTAGAGCATTTTAAACAACACTTCAACTTTTATTTTAATACTAAAAAAAAATACTATGCCTGTTAAGTGTGAATAGAATGTTAATACGTTTTTTTTATGAAATATAATTTGAGTGCCTACATTTTTTAGTTCAAGAAAAAAAAAGTATATTTTTATAATAAATTATCGAGTTCATTCAAGAAGAGTTTGCCATTAGGTATTTATAGTTATTTACCTATAGTGTAGAATATTATTTTTCATAATTTTATAAAAAATACTTATAACCATGATTACACAAATCGAGATCTTAAAAGGATTGAAGATATAATACCAGTAGGTAGATACTATTTGATTACATACAACTTTTAATTATCTTACGTAATTTTTTTTTTTTAATTTCCTGCAATTGCCATTTCTGTAAATCAAACGAGTTGCAGGTGTATCTAATATGGTAAGTACATCATTCAACAATAATATGGTCTTATTATTAGTATTATTATTATTTATAATAGATACTTATAAATTACCATTAAGAAAGTATAATTAATTTTATAAGTAGGTATTTATTAAAAAATTAAATTTTTGCTTAAAGCAGAAATCGCCAAATGTAACCAGGATAATCAGAATTTATAATCAATATAATAATTATACTCTGTCGTTTTTGCTTAAATTTTATTTATATTTATTATTTTATGCAACGCTTAATGTGCATAGAAGAAAATAAATCATAAATTATAGTTATTCATCACTTTAATGTTAATAAGATAAGAACCCTTTTTTTTACTTTATATTTTTGTAAATAGCGTATAAAGATAATATGACGTGAGATCTTTTATTTAATTTGTCGTCATATGTATATTTTTTTCCCACTTGATTTGATAACCTATAGGCCTTATAAGTATTTAATACATTGCTGCAATTGTGAATGGTATGTTTAATAGCTCTCGGTTGGTTGCATTAGCTACATATTATGTTTCTTAAATATTGTTAATTTTAATTACTCATAAAAATAAAATCGTACTTAATTGTATTTAGTTTTCATTGAATAAATATAATTATTTAGGTTAATACAATGGATCAAACGAAATTACCTAGAAATGTAACACTTATTAAATTGAGTTTTTTCTTATTCTTAGGAGGTAAGTACATAATGGACATTTTTAGAATCCGTATACGATTAATCATGATCAATGCATAACAGTTTATAGTAAGTTAGTTTAGGTAAAGTTAAAATTATTTGAAGAATACTTTAAAAATGTGGGAAATCTTACTTACATTTATATCGATGAACTGTTATAAGAGGGCGCTTCATCGAATCCCATACATCCCATAAGAGGGAGCAAAGTATAGGCAATTTTTTGCCAAATTTTAATTTAGAGCTTGAACCATAGTGTGTACTTACTAATACATTAATGACGACTCTTATTATCTTGCCATTTTTTTCGGATTACCACAGTAATTTTTACAGGCTTACTGCTTTGCGCGAGGCAAGTATGTAGGCATTAACAGTAGATTAACCAATTTTACACAATGTATAAAGTCCTTACTTTATCTATGCCGTAGCGTTTTTATTCTTTTGATAACTATACTTGATTTTTTATAAGCAAATTTAAAAAGAAAACATTTTTTTTATGAATGAATAATTTTTATTGTGTTCAAAAAACTAAAAATGTTACGACATAAATAAAGTTTTTCTATATTTATTGTAAAAATTGTATACGGTTACTGTCAATACCGCCCTCGCATACTTGTTCCCCACAAAACATTTTTCGTGAATAAATTACGGTTGTGTTGAGTCTTCTTAAGTTATAATTAAAGGTTTGTCAACATGTACTTGAAAAAAAAACAAATTCAGTTGTCTGAAAATATATTGATTAGATTATTTTTAAAACGTGCAATTCAACATACGTTTTATCTTTTGAAGTCGTTTTAGGAGTATCTAATAAAACGTCATGTTCAATTTTACTTTCCTACATGTCGCGGTCGTGGGACCGATCAATGCTTGACAGTGACATTATTATATTATATCACCATATCTATGTGCCATTTTAAAAATGTTGAACAAATCAAACCTTTGAGTGTTTTGCCTCATTGGCTAAACATTGAAGAACACTTCATAAGAATAAATTGTTTACCTATACATAATACTAAACAATAATTGGGAAAAAATAAAAATCGTAAACTGTATCAAACTTATGATTAACACTTGTAATATTATCACATTACAGGGAACTAATGAAAATAGTTTAAGTAGGGAGGACGATAAGTAATATCGCCAGCGCGATTGTGTTTAAAATTCGCTATTAATTAATTTTAAAATGTAAGTTGTAACCAATAATCATATAATAAATAAAATTAGTTTTAGTCTTTAGATGAATAGATTTTCTATTTGTAAATATTAATTTCTAAGCATGTCAAGTTGTAACTCATTGTAACTTTAAGACTTTTTTCCATTATAGGTGCAGCGCCATTAGCCATGTTCCTACCTACAATAGCAAAACAGATGGGATACTCTATGTCAATCTATGGTACTATGATTACTTGTGCGTTGATAATAACTATGATTGCTTCTCCTATTTTTGGATATTTAGTAGATAAATATCGAATTAGAAAATTAGTTTTTTCGACTGGGGTGTTAGTCTTTGGAATTTTTGGATTTTTAATGACTTTTGTTCCTGCTATTCCGCTTGAAACAAATTCAGAGTTAAGATGTGGAAACAACACGTATTTAAAAATAATTTCACAGTTCAACCAACTACCCAAATGTGACGAAGAACAATTTTTGGATTCGAAAATGAACGGACATTTTTTTTGTCAGGTATAAGTTGTTGAAGAATAAATACAAATGTTCCAATATAAAACCTTCAACTACATTTGCATTTCGAGTTAGGGCAAAGGATATGAATGATGTTTATCGTTTCCAAGTAAATTTGATTCAAGATTTATTGGTTTCAAATTTATTGTTTCAAAATAATGTAAATTTTAACTAAACCTGATTCAATGATAGTCCAATTAAAACAATTGACCGTTTAAAATGATATTTTCCAAAGTTTTTGCATACGTACAATTACTTTCTGAAAACTGTTGTAAATTTAAATAAAGAAATTAGAAGTACAAACATATTTATATTTGAACGAGAACTAAAAAAAAATATTATTTAAAAGTAACTATACTTTTTGGTTTGAGTTCTTCGAACGAAGCAATTGTTTCCGGTTCTTCGTTTGTTGTTTTTCAAAAATAGGGGTTCTAAACTTCGTTTAAGATTTCATTTTGGATATATTTTCTTATCTAATTATGCCATGGTGAATTGTTTATAAATTATTTGTAAATAAATGCAACCATATACATTGTATACATAATTACACTAATTAAAAGTATGTTTTAGCTTAACTGTCAAGAAAACCCTTTTAATTATGATGATAAATCCAAATCTTTGGACCAATATTATAATAACTTTACGAGAATAGAAAAGTGGATAAACTCAGATAATTATTCAAGTAATACGAAAGAAGACAGACATCAAATCGATATCTCGACTGAAATATATTTTACAGAACATGTAATAATATGCGGTTGATTTTGCGTTTTATACCAACAGTTCGGTTTTTAATTGAGTTGTACGGTTATTTTTTTTTTCTTTTTAGGTTGAAAATACTTATGTGTTTCGCATATTATCAGCTCATATCAATGACAGCCCTATACCATCATTGTATTGCCAAAGTCAGATTAACACCAACTGCCATGTGAATTGTTCTGTTCATCTTTTGAACGAATTGGCCTCTAGTCCTACATTTAAAAGAAACGTTCTCGGGCTGTATACTTTTTGGCTGTTTTTCATTGTTGTTATATTACTGGTGATGTCCTTTTACGTACCTAGTGCCATACAAAGCGCTCTGTGTCTTGATCTTTTGGGTAATATGCGGTTCGTACGAGTATATAATATAAAGCTCAACACTTTTTGTTCCCGCGTAAATTGCACCTAATTATAGGTATTTTAATGTCGCTAACATTATGATTATGACATGCAGCTGGCATTCCATGCTAAAGCTGCTATTTTCTCTTATTAAAATATAAATTTACATTTTGCCAATTACGTGTAGGCAACAAACATGAAAATTATGGCAAGATTAGATGTTGGTCGTCTGTTGGATGGGGAATTTCTTCGATTGCCAGCGGTTGGCTGGTAGACTATTTCAGTTCCGACCCCAAGAATAAAAACTATATGCCGGTTTACTGTACATGCCTTTTAATTTCAATATGCCATTTTATTGTGATTCTTAAAATTAAAGTAATCTTATAGCTATAGTGTTGTTTAATATCATATCATGTATATACTAGTTATCCTAAAATGTTGATTTCAATCAATTCTAGGTCGTTGATACTAACAAAGCAAAAGAAAATAAAAGCAAAATTCAGCCTAATATATATAGATTATTGAAAAAAGGCTATGTGTTTATTTTTTTTGTCTGGATCTTAGTGATGCAATTTTTTCATGGCATAATTAGTTATTACCTGTTTTGGTAAAGTAAACATATACTTTTATACACATAAAAATTAAAATAGTGATATGTTAGGTTTTTTTTTAAATTGTCTTTTACTGCTTTATTCAAATCCTATCAAGAGTAGTCATAGATTAAAAAACAATCGTTTATAATGATCAAATTTTAACCAGTGTTTGTTAATACTTTTTTTTTTAAGTACATTATACACAAGATAATAACATACTCGTATTTCTCATTTGCTATGTAGACAAATTTCAATATAAAACTTTTCTTAACACGGAGGTCATGAAACACCACAAAACAAATGTGTAGTACTTATGTTTTTAAACAAGTAGTAAAAGACTTAATCTAATTTACTGATAATAACACAGTCTAATATACAAATTAATAATTTGAAAATATGTTTAGGTATTTGGATGAAATGACTTCACAACACGATTGTAATAAACGTCAATGGATAAAAACACTACAAGGTCTCGCTCAAGGTGTCCAATGTTTCGGCGGAGAGTTACCGTTTTATTTTTTGTCTGGTTGGATCATACAAAAGTTGGGCTATTTGAAATCAATGTCTTTGACATTAGTAGTTGTTAGTGCTAGAATGTTTTTCTATTCAGTCATTTTGAATCCAGCGTGGGTTTTATTAATAGAAATATCAAACGGAATGTCTTTTGCGTTAGCCGAGGCCACTAGGATGTCTTACGCTAAGCTCATTTGTCCTCCCGATGAGCTTAATTCATTGATGGGCTTAATCGGGTTTTTCCTTGCTGGTGGTAAGTAATATACTTCATAATACTATATTATCATGACAATAAATAGGTATTGATTTATGTTTGGATTTTATGTCCGTAGGCGATTGTGCCGGAAGCCTAATTGGTGGTTATTTATACGAAGCTTTTGGGGGCGAAAGAATGTTCAAATTGTCTTCGTTCATAGTAGCAATACTGTGTGTTTTGCACATACTAAGTGGTATTTTCAGTTTGTCAAAGGAGTTCAAGATAAAGGATTTTACACCAGTTTCTACTCAAAACGAGATTAATGCAAAGTTATAAGTTTTTAACATGGTTATTAGTAAAACTGAGTGTATACCTAAATGGATAGCACAGGTTTCATGTATTAATTTTATAGAAATAACATTCGAGATCATTAAATGCTATTCCTTTCCGGGTTGCTTTCAACAGTAACAATTACGATCTTAGATTAAAAAATTTCTAAAAAAAATGCAGTTACCTCATATACACACAAACAATTAAATGAAAGTTATTATGGGCATACAGCGTGGATTGTAGCAACTATACACTGTCCCTACTTGCCAGTCCACCCTTGCGAGGTAAGTATATTTTACAGTATAGCATCGCAATGGGTCTTATTTTTTTTCCCCATTCATTGAAAACGGTGTATAATTCTATTACTAAACTAATATAAACACCATACATTATTACCTTATTTTGTTGTTTAATTAGGAAACGTGGTCGGTGGTTATTTTATAAATGTTCTCATAAACATAATTTGCTTTAGATTATTCAGTATTAGTATCTTTCAAATAATAACGAATATGAGTACAAAACAGATGTGCAAAAGTGAATATAATATTATAACAGCACAAACTTTTTGACGTTATTAATTATTTATACCTCTATTGCATCATAACGTGTATAAATATTTTGCAATCCTGCCTAATTATAATTATCCTAGTGATAGAGTTTCAACTTCTCAAGGTTTAAATATTAAAAGCTAGAACTATATCATATTATATACATTTTATAATAATATACTAACACTGTTGTTAAAAAATAGGATCTTTGTAATATTTTAGCTTCGATGTGAAGTTAAAATGATAATGTTTTCATTGCAAAAACATTTTTACTGACTCGTATTGGTAACAATTTTAGAAATATATAGTTATATATTAATGCGTTTTGTTCTTCTGATTTTCCAAGGAATATCCGAATGTTTCTATTTCCAAAGTTTAGAAAAAAAAGTAATAAGAGTAAGCATAATATAGTCTTCTCTAGTTCCCATAGGAGGTAATTTTTACAGACAGTATCGTATGCTACAGAGAGGTCTTAAACAGCCTCTCCTGATTTTAGTCTGCCGTGTTAGGTACAAATATGTATGAATAAATTAAATAACGTGAAAGTCTTCTGTGGGACCGACATTTTCAAGCTGTGTATGATTTGAAATAAATGATAAAAACATATTAACGTAGGAGGGGTGTAGTATGTTCGGGAAGGAAAATAATGAAGTCCAAGAGTGAAGACGTTGCGGGTATTTAGAAACAATTTTTTTATGCGTGGCTTAAAAATTAAATTTTTTTAAAAGTTAAAACATATTTTTATACATTTTAAAACACTCATTACTTTTTGAAGTTTTGGATTATTCATTTGTGTTTGTTCTTAAACTAGGAAGATTTAATACAAGTACATCCGTAAGTCTCAAAGGTTTCTATTTTTGTGCCTGAACCTATGTTTTATTTTATAATATATCAAATTGATAGGTCAGAGAACACACGGTACACTATGTATACTAAATACTTTTAAACCTATGGGTTAAAATCGCTAGATTGGACCGGTCGCGATTCGAGAAGATCAACTCTTGTACGGAGAACTGAATACTCCGTAAAAAACAATCCAGTTACGACTAGGAAATTATTTTCTTTTTTAATTTGCCAATATTTGAATTACCACGTAACTCCTTAAAAATTAGTGTACGCAATACAAAGCACAGCAATATAGTGCGGCATACCAGCTTAGCAAAAAGTAAGACGAAGTTTAAGATAGAGTATGAAGATGTCCAGCGTTTAGGTCTCTGAAGAAAAACAGCTGACTGGTTTATTGATGAAGTGCTGCTGATACGGCTTGGCGTTTATAGGAGATAAGACGTACCCGATGTCAACGAGTACCAGTATGAAGCAATTCCAAAACCGTTTAATCCAGTTTAACCAGTTGAGAGCGAAATGTCATCACTGCATTGCTATCAACATTATAACAAATAATATACTACATAAGTGACTTGTGTATCATACCAATATGATATGATACACCAATAAATAAATGACAATCATTTTTATAAATCGAAGAAAGCTAACACTACAGGGTGATTTTTTTATCATGAGCCACTTAATATCTCACTGAGTTTAATTAATAATTTTATTTTTTTTTCAAAGCGTTTTTATATAATGTGATCTCAATTTTCCACAAATTATTATGTTTCTACCCCTCTCCCAAACTAGTTTTTTTGATAGCAACTTTTGAAACTTAAATGGTGACATATATATTTTTAAACTTTTTAAATTCAGAATAATGTATTAAACATTTTGGCTGGTCGATAACCAGTTTCGGATAACTATTTTTTGAAGTTATTGAAATTTCAAGTTTAGGGCAGGAGGAAAGGCACTCTCCCCCTTCTCGTGTAGGCAAGCGTCAGAAAATAATATTTTATAAATTATGTCTTTTTTTTAATTTAAATATAAAAAAATAAGTAAATTATAATTTGATCTTAAGATCCTTCTTACCAAATGCATTTAGTATACTTACTCTATTTATTTGATTAAACATCTCTCGTTCAATGTACAATACAGATAATTTAGAAAATCTATGCTGTGAAATCGTTGAGCGAATATAGATACAGATGCGACGCATTACTGAAAAGGACCTTTCACAATATACACAACTAACTGGTATAGAGAAAGCTAAACAAATAATTTTTATTGTATTGAATGCGGAATTATTTGAATATAATTTTTAACTTACACAATTTTTTAAAACAGACCCCTTCATTGGTGGTCCTTAATCCCCTTAAGGTGGTTTAAAAGATATTCACTGAAATTGAGTTAATGATTTTACAACAGTTTTTGGCTACCATAATAATTCTCGACAAAATAGTATTTTCTTCAATGTGTTATAAGTAAGCATGCTGTTCCTAATACTTATGTATTGCACGGATATCAGTCAAGATTGTCAATATATTATTTTCACTCATGATTTTCTGTGTAGGTGAATCATTAAATCGTAGCGTCACGATTAGTAGCTGTCAATCATATAAACACTAATCAGCAATCGCTATATCTTTCTGGTTGTACAGAAAAACGATTTATAATAAAAAATATCAATTTTTATTTGCTATTAACTTTTTAGTTTATAGAAAATGCGGTACATTTTTTTGTGTAGCCTTTGAGCTATTAGGGGGGGGGACTTTTCTAGAGACTGGGGGGCTAAATATTCTAAACCCACTCTTGGTTGTAGATTGAAATCAATGAGTTTATTATACAAACAAATATACCTAGAAGTATAGTTGCATAGAAATTTATTGATTCTAATTTGAATGACTTCATAAAACTTATTAGGATTTCTAATTATTGCCCTTACATGCTTATAATAACGTCAAAAACCCTGAGGTAGTGCATAAAACCCATATTTTCGCTTTTCTAAGTTCAACAATGACTTGGTTTTTATACACAACAGCCAATACACATACACATTATAGTAGTAACCAACATTCGAAGATACCAAGGTCGTATATGTTGCTGTTGCCCTTCTCCTGCAGTACTGCTTCTAAAGCCCCTACTGCCTACTGTGCTATGTACATTGTACAATAACATGACATAATCACAGCAGTAGGCGAATGATGTTAGAATGCAAACGGTTAGGTAGAATTTATGTTAAGCACTGTATTCCCATGCCATCAGCACACTTCGAGTCGGTTATTCAATTGGAACGGTCATGTTTGAGTGTTACAACGTAAATATATATATATATATAATATATTTATTGGTTTTAGTAATTAAATTTAATTTTTAAGTGTTTGTTGGAGGATTTTGTACTTAAATACTAATTACTAGTACAATTTATATGACTATCAGTTAACACGTGTCACTTGTCAGACATTTCGGATATTTAGTTGAATAAGGTATACACACTATTACAATAGTATTATATTATATGATTTGTTATCTACTATATAAGTTGTGTTTTATTATTATTTGTATTACAATTATATGCAATTATTTTTTTAGGACTAGTTATAACATAAGATTTTTGAATTAGTTTCATAAGCGATTAACATCTTTTTTCTTTTAGTTATTTGCTTAATAATTTTTTTATATGGTTTTATGTAGTACAAATTTAGTATATATATATATATTAATATATATATATTATGTCGGTGCAAAATACTTAAATTTTAAATTATCAGTTTTGTTGCATTTTAATCGTGTAAGGCCAATGCACCATTCCAAATTAAATAGAAGTATACCCGCTAAGAAGATACCCGCTCACATAACATAACAGTTGAAATTCTCTTTGAAATGTCCGGAATTTAATTTTTGTTAAAGATTTTATTTTAATAATTTCAAACGGGTTTGCCATTGAAAATCTTAGTAAAATAGTATAAGTAATAATTTTACTGAAAAACGCAGTCATAAATTTAAAAAAATATAATTAACTAATAATTGAAATATTTTAAGTTTTATACCTTTTTATTTTGTTTTTGGAGTACCAGTGAATTCTTCTTCTTCTTACGTTCAGCGATCAATCTACTTTTACAACATTATTTCAGTATAATATGATAACATTCTAATGTAATATTTTATTAAATCGATTATCTAAACAAAATATATTTAATACTTATGTATAAAAGATTAAAACACTCATTTAACGTTACAAAAATAATATTTCTACAATATACTCGTTTCGATATTAATATACAGGGTAATCCATCTAACGTAAGACACTCATTTTCTCTGCAAATATGTATATTTTGAGAATTTTTTTCCCTTTTATTTTAGGTACATATTTTACCAACTTTTTTAAAGTTTTGAAAATTTTTATCACCAATCCTTATAGGCCAAAAAGGGGGATGTTTGGTTTTTTTAAATGGCAACATATGTTTTTAATTACATAAATTTGTAGATAAAAAATAAAAAACTGTGTTAGCGTTCGAATTTTCATTTATTTGCTCATTTGTTATGACTTTATAAAGATTTGATTTTTTTAATGTATTTATTAATATTTTCAATCGTTACTACAAAGACTAGTAGTTTTATTATATGGCATAAAAATAATTTGATGTGTTGCCGTTCTCTGCATCATAATCAGATTTAATAAATTACCTGTAATCTAAGTATTTTGTAGATAAGAACCGTCTATTATTATTTCAAAATATTTTATAGTGACTTCCTAGTTGTTAGACTGTTATCGCCAATTGGACAATGCGAACATAAATATGAATTTTATGTGTTACCAGTTTTTGGAGAACCTAAAAAGTATGATAATTATTATTTATACAAAGTCATAGCTAATGAACAGATAAATGAAAATAAAAAATTCAAACGCTAACATATTTTTTAAAATTTTTTTGTCTACAAATTTGTGTAATTAAAATCATATGTTGCCATTTAAAAAACCAAATATCCCCCTTATTGACTTATAAGGATTGGTGATATAAATTTTGAAAATATTGAAAAATGTAGTAAAATATGTACTTAAAATTTTAGGAAAATCTTTTTTCTCGAAATATTCATATTTTCAGAGCAAATGAGTGTCTTGCGTTAGTTGGATCAACGTTAGTTTAGACCTTGTATATATACTTATAAATTATGTTTAAAATGTTTATAAAATTATTTTATACAACTAATAAGATATAATTAATTTATTTGACATTAATTTATAATTCACATTTTGAATCAAATACTATTATGTTAGACTTAAGTAGTATAACATAAAAATTAGAATAAAAAGAAAATTTGGCATATTATGTACAAATTGGGGATACTTTCGTTCCACTTCTAAGCTAAAACGTTTTTAGAAAACATTTTAGGCTTAAAAACTATGCTTCAAAATTGGATATAAAGAAAAATAACATTTTTTTAATGCTAAGTCTAATTTTTGCTTCTATGTGAACTCGAGATTTTTTAACAATGATGGTAAAACATATTATAATAGATTTTCTCACCAACAGTTTTAGTTTTATAGTTATATTACTAAAATTACGGATTCATAGAAAAGTTTCACAAAAATAATAAATTGTTTTGTAAACTATTTGTCTTATTCCGCACAAGGGAGCTATTGAACCGAGCAGTCTGAGTCTCTATCATTTTTGTTTCGAGTATTTCTATTTATGTAGAAATCAAATGGTTAATAAAAGTTATTATCAGGCTCACACATCATGGTCATTGACTGACTATAAAAAAATAAAAGATATTCAGGTACAATAAATTCTTATGTTCTACAATGTGTATAATGGAATATGTCATCATACTTTATTTACGATAATATAGATAATTTACACAGTTAGAAGTTATAAACTAATGATGAAATGCTGTATTTTAATTTCGAACACACGCTGATATTTTCTATGACGAATTAAATATCGTTGACGAAATAAAAGTAATCCTATAATCTTATAATTAAGGTTTAGGTATATTACAGCATTTATTTAAAGCATGGCTATCAAAACCCAGTGTTTATATTAATTAAAAATAAGTAATTAAGTTTAAAATGATCACGTCGCGTACAGGTTTTTCTATTTAAATAATAAACTTATGCTACTCAGTAGAGTTAATCCCTAATTACTTGCTGTTAAAAAATAAATTAAATTTCAGTAGTTTTTTTAACAAGATTTAGGTTTTGTCAATTTTTGCAATTTTCAACAATTAAATTAAGATTTCACTAAAATAATGTAGCTATACATTTACTTTTAATATAGTATTATTTCCCACATTTTTGTATTATATATATTATGTTGTTCATTTCACTTATTTTTGGATGTTGTTATGACATATATTACACTTAAGTGTGTGATGAGTTGTGAGCTGATATTATAATTTAAAGCAATTATTAAGAGCAATGTGTAATGCAAACTAAGTATAAAAAGTTATTTAAAGACAATTTTTTTGATAAAGCATTTGTGTAGGTAGAAGCCACTTTTTTATAGTTTAACGACTCAATATCCTTTTTTAATATTTTAATCATCAAAGTACGTATGGAAAAGATAAGATTACGATTATAATTAAAACGGAAATGACGAAAATTTTGAACAGAATACATTATGTACGCTTTGATGGTTGTATAATTTAATCCACGGATTAAAACGGATTTGTAGGATTTACTTCTAAATGGTTAGGTCTGTCATTTTTAAATGTTTATATATTTCATCACTTCCACTCGAAATGTCTTAATTGTCCCATTAACCCTGTATCTATTATTTAATTATATTTGGAGTCCTTATTAAACACGCTCATAAATATTTCTATGTATAAATATTTCTTATAATTGAATTTCTTATGAGTGTTTCTGGGTAGCTTTTTAAGTAAAATTCTTAATTTAAAACATAATTTTACTATCATTAAATCAAACTAAATGATTTATTGTTTTCAGGTTAATACGGAACATTGGTGCTCGTTGCGGAAATATAAATAAACGATGTTGTTAAAGAGGTATATATTATTAATATTATTAATATTATTCCTATTAGATTAATAGTATTGTATTGATTAACAATACAGTCCTATTAATCTATATAATTTGTATTATAATTAAATGTCTACAAATACACCAGATAAAAAAAAAGTTATGCGTTTTCAGACTACAATCAAAACGGTTCCTCATAATATTGGCCATATCTATTATTGTCATCATAGCGGTTTCATTGTTGGCTGTATATATCCATTATGATAAACCATCGAAGCTGGATATAATTCCAGATCCAAATGAACCGTTGCCGCCCTCTAGTATGCCAATGGGTGTCTACGATAAGGTAGGAGTTGTATCCAATGGAGAACCTTGCGCTGAGATTGGACGGTAATATATTATAATTTGGCTATAATATAAATTGATATACTTTTTTTTTTTGAATCGTCATTACAATACCTAGTGATGCGATATAATTAATTACAGGAATGTTTTGGAAAAAGGTGGTAACGCTATTGATGCGATTATAGCAACCTTGATATGTGATGGTGTTCACTGTCCGGAATACATGGGGCTGGGCGGAGGATTTTTGATGACTATTTACAATGGAACTACTAAAACGGCAACAGCAGTCAATGCACGTGAATCGGCACCAGCCGCTGCCAATGAGACTATGTTTGTTAATGATTCAATAAAATCTCAAATAGGTACTTATCCTTACTATTAAGTTTGTGCGCCGCCACGCTGGGGCTATTGGCAAATAAATCAAGTGCAAAGCAAATAAAATACATAGAATTCAGAACTTCATGGTCCTAGTGATTTTTATGTATGATGAAGTACTAAAATTATGAAAAAATTACATCTGTTTATTGATATTGCACAGTTATCACGATTTAAAAATAGTAGAATTTGTGGTTTTTTGTAAAATTCTACCCTACTAAACACGTTAGGCTAGTTTAACTTGAGCATGAGTCAAGATTTTTAAAAACAGGAACAAAAAATTTAAAGTTACATATTGTTAACCATTAAAAAGTGATAAAATTAATTTGTTAGTTTTATCTAAAAACGATATACTTAAATTTTATAAATACATGTTTACGATAAAATTTTTTACAGTTGTTTATATTATTTTGATACTAAAGTGATTTCATTATAGGAGGATTGGCAATCGCTATACCAGGAGAACTTAAAGGGTATTGGACTGTTTTTAACAAATACGGCAGCGGTGAAGTTACGTGGAGCTCATTATTTGAGCCGACTATAAAGCAATGCGAAGAAGGCATTGCCGTTAGTCAACGCTTGGCAAAAAATATGGCAAATAATGAAGAGTTAATAAAAAATTCTACAACACTCAAGTAAATGTCTACGTTCAATTATCCGTTAATTTTATAATATTTGTATTGATGGTCATTGCATCAGGACCATGCATCATTTTTTTTTTAATATTCTATTGTTTATAATTTTTAAATTTTAGCTCATTCACGAATTGAAAGGAAATTTCTCAGCAAAAATTATTTTAAGTTTAGTCATAGAGATAATAATAAAATAATTAGCTATGAGTTTAGTTGGCTTTTTAAAAAAACATTTTTTAAGTTCTGCATTTGATGGATAGGAAACATTTTTTTGATGAAAAAACCGGTCGTGTGAAGAAAGCCGGAGATATTTATAAACTACCGGAACTGGCCGAAACCATGAGAATCGTAGCAAAACACGGAGCGGATGCACTATATAATGGAGAATTGACACAACAACTCATAGAAGACATTAAAGACGCCGGTGGTATAATAACAGCGGACGATTTAGCAAACTACAAGTGTGTACATAGTATATCATTAGGCAGCTAGAAATATTTGAAATAACAATTGGATTTGTAGTGTTGAGGTTGAAGATGCGTTCAACGTGACAATGAGTAACGGGGTTACACTACACGCTGGACCACCTCCAGGTTCTGGTGTAATATTGGCTCATATTTTACGGGTATTAGATGGAAAACTACCAGCACCGAATGCAGGACTGGACGCCCATCGTTTGGTGGAAGCATTCAAATTTGCATACGGCGAAAGGACTCATCTCGGAGATCATAACTTCGTTAACGTTACTGAGGTTAATTTGCAAAAACATATTAATTAAAAGCTATCAATCTTAATCATTTAATACAGGGTGTATCAAAAAGAATGGTGGGGTTTCAAACGGTTGTAGGTTGGGCTAAAAGAAAGAGGGAGTTGTCTAGTTTCGAATGACTGTCACGTTCCCGTTTGTGTTGCCAGCCTTCATTGTTTAGCTTGTTAAGATGGCGTCCTCGCAAACGAAGTGATCGAGTTCGCGAAGCGTAATTCAGTTACGACTATAAAACATCTAGTGTCAGAGACATCTAGCGGCAGTGATTCGAAACTTGACAACTCCCTCTTTCATTTAGGTCCTACCAGAGCACTGTAGGTCCAATACTTCACAACCTACAGCCGTTTGGAACCCCACCATTATTTTTGATACACCCTGTATTCAATTAATGATTGATGTTAATGATATTGTTATTATTTAGATTTTTAGAAAAATCCAATCGGCCGATTACATAAATGAAATTCAGAACAAAATGAACGATCATTTCACATCGTTGGACCCGGTGTATTATGGAGCTGATTTCGGAATACCTGCTGACCATGGTACCGCAAACGTGGTCGTGTTGGACGCTCTGGGCAATGCCGTTGTTGCTACGAGTACTGTGAACACAATGTAATAATTTGTACAATATTAATTTGTCTAATTTAATTCTTTACTTAGCAATTGAACAGACATTTGTTTAACATCGCACAGATTCGGCTCCATGCTTATGTCTAAGGGCACAGGAATTATTTTGAATAGCGAGATGGACGACTTCTCAACACCGGGCGTTCCAAATTATTTTGGAATTCCGCCATCCCCAGCAAACTACATAGCACCAAGAAAAAGACCAATGTCTTCGATGTGTCCAGCAATAATAACAAACAGTGAAGGAGATGTTGTGCTAGCATTTGGAGCAGCGGGTGGATCTAAAATCACACTGGCCACCTCTTACGTAAGAATAACCATTTGGAATCATTGCCCTCAGCATTTGACTACATAAAATCATACAAACATTAACCATAACAGCTAACAGCCCGATGAGAATTGATTGATAATTAATTTATATTTTAATTTGCATAAAAACATTTTGAATTTTTCGAAATGAGCTATACAACATATTGTTTAAAAATACTACATATTTTGGAAACCAATTATATTGAATTAAAATTTGAAAAACTAAATTTTACATTTTATTTAAGAAAATTAAAACTGAAGTTACAGTAATTACTGATTTTGTAGGTGGCTTCTCTAGTACTCTGGAGTAACAAAACGCTTAAAGAAGCTGTAGACGAGCCCAGACTTTACCATCAATTAGTGCCAATGAGAATTGATTATGAATATGGCGTACTTAGGGTAAGCCATCACTCATTTGTACAAGAATAGAACATATTTTGTCTTCCTGTAGTATTAAGCTTTAAAAATTAATTAAAATGTTGATATTAATATATTACATACTTCTTTTTTTTTATATAGGATGTGATTAAAAATTTAACAGACGTTGGTCATCCGGTAAAGAGACTGAAGGTTCGAGGAGGGTCAGCTGTTACAGCTATTCACAGGACAACAGGTGGAAAAATAACGGCTATGGCAGACTTTAGACGACCTGGAAACATTTCAGGATTTTAAGACAAATCTCTAGTTTGTTGTATGACATACATTAGAAGTTCCTACATTTAAATTGATCAAAAAAAACATTACTTTATAACAAGTATTGTTAGAATAAAATGTTTAACGAAGATTGACCTAATGTAATAAACACATACGTGTGCATTGTATGTATGATACCTATACATATATTATACATAAATTCAATAAAATAAGGTTTTTGCTTAATATTTGTAGCATAAGTGATATTAGTATTACATATTTTGTTTTGCTCGTGTAATAAAAGAGCTAATGTTTTCATAAATTTAAAGCTCGCAGCCTTGTTTTATTTTTGCTAAAATTTGTATTAAGACTTTTTTTAACCTGGAAAATCAGAAAAATAAAATCCTGTCGCACCCTTATACATAAATTTATATATGTGTGTTTAGAGCCAACTTTGGTTAAAAAAACAAACAATATACTGACCTAACATGGATTGCTTTTCGACACAAAGTCTAGACACTAGGTTGACTATTGACTAGATGTGTCTAAATACAAATATATAAGTTTAATAATATTCTTTTATCTACTTTAACGGACATTTGTCCGTATTTTACATAATTTTGAATGTATTTTTCAAAATGAATTTAATAATATTCTTTTTTGGTGACAAGTAACCATATTATGTTTATTAATATTTCAAAGTTTAGCAAAAAATGTTTACCCAGTTTGTACAAACGGTTTTACTAAAAAAATAATAATAATAATAAAATCATAATATACCGCGGGTGATTTTTCAACGACCTAATATAAGTCAACTATTGTTTATCTGTTTTAGTATTATCTAGTCTTATTAACTTTTGAAATTTTAACGATAAATTTAATGATAAATAAATAAAAACGGGTTATCGACTACACAAAATGTTCAATAAATTTGTTTTAATTTTAAAGAGAACAACTCATTAAGAAAAAAAACATTTTAATTTTGTAGCTTTTATTTTTTTTTTTAAGTATTTAAAAATACTCTCCGATTCTATAAACAAATATAAAAGGTTTTTTCTTAACGCCCCAGACTAGTTTACTATCGAAATAATGGAAATAATTGCAATATTGTTGTATTTCTTTTTGAAAAAAATTGTATTTATGTTATAGTACATTATTAGACAACTTTTAAATTATTATCATTTTTAGTATTTGCTAGGGTTATGACAACTTTTAAAACTTAAATGGTAACATCTATACTTAAATTAATTTTAAAACGTTGATAAAACTAGATAATACTAATAAACACTAAAACGTTGTTTAATATTAGGGCGTTGAAAAAATCACCCAGCAGTATATTATGATCCATTTGTTTAGTAAAACCGTTTGTGCAAACTGGGTAAACATTTTTTGCTAAAATTTTAAATGTTAATAAACATGGGGTTACTAGTCACCGAAAAAGTAAATTATTAAATTAATTTTCAATAATATACTAAAATGTCATTTTGAAGAAAACATTCCAAATTATGTAATATAAAACAAAACACTTATATTAAACAAAATGTTTTAATTAGAGCATACATTTATTAAATAGTATGAATGATACCTCATTATAAAATATCAATTTTATAGGTATTTTCCCACCGCATAACTTTAAATTAAAAATTCTGCTTTGATTCAAACGATGATTATTTTCTTTTAAGGCTTATTTATCTATATGTCCGTTCCTATAACTTTAGAAATTAGCCAACATTCCATCTATCTAAATAGGGCACTCTATGGTTACACAACCCAGCCCCCGCATTTTGTTCTATAAATTTATAGACATATTAATTTGATTTTGATTTTTACTAAGACATCTGAGCCAAAAGTTTCGAATCCTAGCTACGAATATCGATGCAAGTTTGTATTAAAAAAAAACCTTAAATGAAAATCTGATGTACTCAATTAAGTATACATTTTTAGAATACAAAAATATAATATAAAAATATAAGTTTTGTTTTCGGCTAAAAGTTTGGTTAAAAACCCTAAAAATAAAAATGTTGTTGTTTTTTTAAAATAAATAATATTTTAGTGGAGGATTTCACTGTATGTGATACACAGATTTGTGTATCATGAAAGCCGAATATTGGATACAAGAATATACAACTTGTTTTCGACAAAGGTCTGTTTCTCGTTTTCGATGTAGGTTTGGTTCAAAAACGAATTTTACAAATGTGGTTTATTGGTAAATAAATAATATTTTAGTAAAGCGTACATTTGGATTTCACTGTACGTATTTGCCGGATCCAAAGTCATCGAAGCCAAAGGTTTTGTATATTACAATATATGACTTGTTTTTGACTTAAAGCCTAGTTTGAAAACAAATAATACAAAATATGCTGTTGTTTTTTTTCATAAATAAATAGTATTTTTGTAGGGGATTTCACTGTAAACCTATATTCCTACACCGTTTATTGTATTTCTTAAACATTCTCAAGCCGAACTTGACTTACAAAAAAAACTTACCATAACGTTTCAAAGTTAATATAAAATTAAAACTTTGTTTTCTTTTTAGCTGCAGCGGTTTTTAAGTATGGCATTTAAAAGAAATTTTACTAGAATTTTACCAGCACTATTGTTTTTTGTTTTGACAATAGTTACAGGTAATATTATATTTTATTATGTATTTTTACAAATATATTTTTGTGAATGATGTAGTTAAAACCATATTTTTAGATATATTTATCATTTAGTCCAACGTGTATTTATTATATTGATATTTTGATGGTTGGTATGATAAAATTAAGTTTAAGTTTTCTTTTGTATTTCAGTCATAAACGCAAGACCCGCAGGAGGTGAGTGTTAAAAGTACATTTGATGAGTGGTGGATGCTAGGGTGGCGTAATTTTTACAAAGGATAAAGTAGAACTTTATCTACGGGGTAGCGTTTTTAGTTTTTTAATATCTTAAGTATAATCAAAATTGGTATAAATCTAGTTTATCGGGCTTCCTTTTTTAATTTGTTTATAAAAAAATATTAGATATAGATATAAATATAAATAATTCCAGCACTGTCTAAAGCAAGTACAGTCGAGATCAGTACAGAAAGAGTTTAGTACAATATGAGTAATAGGAATTTTTTATTATGTTAATATAAATTAACATTTAAGAAGACGCTTCCACGGGATGCAACCAGAAAGACAATCATTTTAATAAACATTTTTTTTATGTAACTATTTTTTTCAACTATAGTTTTTAGGTACTTTGATAAGGTCTAAATATATTATAGTAGAGGTATTTATAGTTATAATTCTTAAATATAATTGGGTCATCTGAGCCAAAAGTTTTTAATACTAGCTACGAATATCGATGGGAGTTTGTATTAAAAAAAATACGTTAAATCTTATGTACTCAATTAAATATACAGTTTTTGGATACAAAAATATAGTGTAAAAACAAAACATACGTTTTGTTCTTGGCTAAAAGTTTGGTTTTAAAACAAAAAAATAAAATGTTGTTTTTGAATAAATAATATTTTAGTGGAGGATTTCAATGTATGTATTGCCCAGATTAGTCATCAAAGTCAAATGTTTTGGATATAAGAATATATGACTTGTTTTCGATGTAGGTTTGGTTCAAAAACAAATAATACAAATTACAATTGTTGTTTTTTGGTAAATAAATAATATTTCAGTGGAGCGTACATTAGGATTTCACTGTATGTATTTGCCAGATTCGTCATCGAAGCCAAATGTTTTGGTTATTAGAATATATGACTAAGGCCTGGTTTCAAAACAAATAATACAAAATATGCTGTGGTTTGTATCATAAATAAATAATATTTTTGTAGAGGGTTTCAATGTATGTGTTACAGTTTACACAAAACTAGTCATGAAACCCAAATATTGGATACAAGAATACACACCTTGTTTTTGACTTAAATATCTGTTTCTTGTTTTCGACGTAGGTTTGGTTCAAAAACAAATTTTACAAATATGGTTTATTGGTAAATAAATAATATTCCAAAGGGGCATACATTAGAACTTCACTGTATGTATTAGCCAGATTAGTCATCGAAACCAAATGTTTTGGATATAAAAATATGTGACTTGTTATATAACCTATATAACCACACCATTTATAGTATTTCTTAAACATTCCCAAGCCGAACTTGACTTATAATACAACTTACCATAACGTTTCAAAGTTAATATAAAATTAAAATTTGGTTTTCCTATTAGCTGCAGCGGTTTTTAAGTATGGGATTTAAAAGAAATTTTACCGGAATTTTACCAGTACTATTGTTTTTCGTTTTGACAATAATTACAGGTAATATTATATTTTATAATGTATTTTTACAAATATATTTTTGTGAATGATGTAGTTAAAACCATATTTTTAGATATATTTGTCATTTAGTCCAACGTGTATTTATTATATTGATATTTTGATGGTTGGTATGATAAAATTAAGTTTAAGTTTTCTTTTGTATTTCAGTCATAAACGCAAGACCCGCAGGAGGTGAGTGTTAATAGTACATTTGATGAGTGGTGGATGCTAGGGTGGCGTAATTTTTACAAAGGATAAAGTAGAACTTTATCTATGGGGTAGCGTTTTTAGTTTTTTGATATCTTAAGTACAATCAAAATTGGTATAAATCGAGTTTAGCGGGCTTAACTTAGTCTAGTTTACATTTTTTAATTTGCTTATAAAAAAGTATTAAGTAAAGATATCGAAAAAATTAAAACGCTACCATTGCCATATACCAAAACAAATAAAAATATTATATTTTTAAGGTGTTTAACTGGCATACTCACGTAGTTAAGAAATGATGTATAAACAGCTTGCGTACGAGTCCGCAACACCACGGGATACATTTGTATGTACCTAAGGTGGTTAGTAAACATATCAAGTTTCTGGCTTATATTTTAGTGTTCTTATAATATCTGGCCCAAAATAATTCATAGAAAATTTGTCCCCTTAAATTATTGAATTTATTATTCATTTCTATTTTGGACGTTGTGAATACACCATATATGTCCCCAACCCTTATCTCTTACCCCTGTCTCTCACCACTATCTCTCACCACTATCTCTCACCCCTATCTCTCACCCCTATCTCTCACCCCCTATATCTCACTTCTATCTCGCACTCCCTAACTCTCACCCTCTATCTCCTTCTCTTATCTCTCTTATCAGATAAATCAGCTGTTACTCTTCGTTATGATAACCGGTCTAAGTGTCGTTGTCGATTTTTCCGGTTGTGTTCCAAAGTAAAAACCATATCTCTTATCTCTTTCCCTTACCTCTTATCTCTCTTATTTTATCAGATAAATCAGCTGATTTTTTCGTTATGATAACCGGTGTCGATTTTTCCGTTTATGTGCCAAAGCAAAGATATAAAAATGTCAAAATATTTCACATATTTCTGCATTAAGTATTGACCTGAAGCTCGCAAAGACCAAACTAATGGATTTAGTATTTTTCAATTATAAAAAAAAATATGTTCACAATATATTTGAATAAAAAAATTTAGTTTAATGAGGTACCAATTCCATAAGTATACTTCATTTTTTAAAAACAATTATTTGTATGCAGGTCCTGGTCAAAACGGTATGTATAATTATTTGTTTTTTTTTTCATTTTTTTATTAATTATTATTAGGTGCTTGTAGATTTTACAATTATTTTGTATAAATACAAATCACGCATACTAAAACCAATTTTTATACTTAAATTAGTTGTCCATTTTATTCAGTAGTGTAATCCGGAAACTAATATTGGTCGATAAGAAGTTTTGTATCAAGTTTCTGGCTTATATTTTAGTGTTCTTATAATATCTGGCCCAAAATAATTCATAGAAAATTTGTCCCCTTAAATTATTGAATTTATTATTCATTTCTATTTTGAACGTTGTGAATACACCATATATGTCCCCAACCCCACCCCCAACCCTTATCTCTTACCCCTGTCTCTCACCACTATCTCTCACCACTATCTCTCACCCCTATCTCTCACCCCTATCTCTCACCCCCTATATCTCACTTCTATCTCGCACTCCCTAACTCTCACCCTCTATCTCCTTCTCTTATCTCTCTTATCAGATAAATCAGCTGTTACTCTTCGTTATGATAACCGGTCTTGGTGTCGTTGTCGATTTTTCCGGTTGTGTTCCAAAGTAAAAACCATATCTCTTATCTCTTTCCCTTACCTCTTATCTCTCTTATTTTATCAGATAAATCAGCTGATTTTTTCGTTATGATAACCGGTGTCGATTTTTCCGTTTATGTGCCAAAGCAAAGATATAAAAATGTCAAAATATTTCACATATTTCTGCATTAAGTATTGACCTGAAGCTCGCAAAGACCAAACTAATGGATTTAGTACTTTTCAATTATAAAAAGAAATATGTTCACAATATATTTGAATAAAAAAATTTAGTTTAATGAGGTACCAATTCCATAAGTATACTTCATTTTTTAAAAACAATTATTTGTATGCAGGTCCTGGTCAAAACGGTATGTATAATTATTTGTTTTTTTTTTTCATTTTTTTATTAATTATTATTAGGTGCTTGTAGATTTTACAATTATTTTGTATAAATACAAATCACGCATACTAAAACCAATTTTTATACTTAAATTAGTTGTCCATTTTATTCAGTAGTGTAATCCAAAAACTAATATTGGTCGATAAGAAGTTTTGAAATTTTATTTTGGCGATTTATAAATATAAATCTGTTGGCAAGGGAGAAGGCGCACTTCTTCAATACCACTTTTTTTATTTAAGAGTTCCTTATAATAAAAACAGCTGGTTTGACACATCCTTGTAGTTTGACTAATAGTTTTGATTATCATAATTATTTTGTATATAATATTGTTTATTTAGTTCATATGGACATTAATTTTATTGTATCGTCCATTTTGCTTATTATAACTTTAATCTTTTTCAGTTACAACACCAGCAGCCGCCAGTATGTTTACGTTTACAAAATAATATATAAAAATTAACATACTCTTCGTATATCAGATATATGATGTATCAGATCTTTTTATAATAATATTTTTATTTCTATCAATTTTTTAAATAAATTAATAATTCGATGTGGCTATGTACAGTACCATAGTTTTGATTATCATATTTATTATGTAGGTACCCAATATTGGCCGTTTGGCTTATAATAACTTTATTAATTTTCAGTGACCCCGCCAGTAACACAGACATTGTCAAGAAGTATGTTTACGCCTGCCAAACAATAAACTATAATATGTTACATGATATATTTATATTTTTTATAATAATGTCTTAACAAATTGTACTATATTATACTGTCTACATACGTGGCCAAAAGGGATTCTTATTTAAGCAGTGTAATCCGGAAACTTAGAATGGTTAATGAGAAGTTTTGATATTTTATTTTGGCATTTTTTTAAATTTAAATCTATAGGCTGGGAAGAGATGCTCCCTTCAATACCAATTTGTTCGATGTGAATTACCAAGGCACTATTAGTTTTAAAACAATTATAAGTTACTCGAAAATTTCCAACGACAATGTTACGACTAAGATTATAATAAGATAATATATAAGAAAGTTATAAGAGTTTTAAAGTTAGGATGGGAGAAAAAGTGCGGTTGGAAAATGCGAGCAGATAAAAATAATACTACACTCCACCTTTTCTCCTACCATTACCTTGAAACTTCAAAAATAGTTATCCGAAACTGGTTATCGACCAGTCAAAATTTTTATTACATTATTCTCAATTTAAAAAGTTAATAAAATATATACGTTACCATTTAAGTTTCAAAAGTTGCTATCAAAAAAACAAAGTCGAGATGAGGGTAAAAACAAACAAAATTGTGAAAAATTGTAAACCAGCAAAGTAAGAAATGACCAAAATGGGGTCCAGTATCGACTATCCATAGATTGACACCGAAGCGTTTTTTTAGACTTGTTTTTAAAGGAACTTTGCCACTATTGACTATATTTATTGTAGTATTTTAGCTTCTTACTATGTTAGATATGTATCTACTATGCTGCCCCCTAATTTGATTTGTATACATTTTTTTTTTTTGTTAGGTTCGACGGAATTGGAAAGAGAAGGACGTTAGTAGCATATGTAACCTTTTGTTAATATAGTTTAAACAATATGAGTAATAATAAAGTAAATGTCTGTTGTTTTTTTTATTTAGAGACGTGTAGAAATTGCCTGAAGAAAATTTGCTGTGGTTCTTGCATATCTGGTATGTGTTTTAAAAAAAGTGATTAAAAAAATAAATGTCATAAAATGTTGTTAAATAGTGCTGACAAAAATAACAATCTTGTTGCCTAATACTAGCTAAATTGTATCCAATTTTGCATTCACACGTGCGGTAGTCGTCATTAAAAAAATTAAATGCTTAATTACAATAGTTTTATATAAATTTGTTTATTATACAGAGTGATCCACTTATCGTGAACCACTCAATATCTCATAGGGTTTAATAAGGAATTAAATTTATTTTTCATATTGTTTTTATTCAATGTTATCTCAATTTTTCATATTTAGTTTTGTTTTAACCCCCCTCCAAGCTTAGTTTTTTTGATAGCAACTTTTGAAACTTAAATGAAACGTATATATTTTATTAACTTTTTAAATTAAGAATAATGTACTAAAAATATTGACTGGTCGATTACCAGTTTCGGATAACTATTTTTAAAGTTGTAAGAGTTTTAGTTAGGATGGGAGATAAAGTGCGGTTGGGAAATGCGAGCAGACTAAAACAATACTACACTCCACCTTTTCTCCTACCATTACCTTGAAACTTCAAAAATAGTTACCCGAAACTGGTTATCGACCAGTCAAAATTTGTATTACATTATTCTCAATTTGAAAAGTTAATAAAATATATATGTTACCATTTAAGTTTCAAAAGTTGCTATCAAAAAAACAAAGTCGAGATGAGGGTAAAAACAAACAAAATTGTGAAAAATTGTAAACCAGCACAGTAAGAAATGACCAAAATGGGGTCCAGTATCGACTATCCATAGATTGACACCGAAGCGTTTTCTTAGACTTGTTTTTAAAGGAATTTTACCACTATTAACTATATTTATTGTAGTATGTTAGCTTCTTACTATGTTAGATATTTATCTACTATGCTGCCCCCTAATTTGATTTGTATATATTTTTTTTTTTTTGTTAGGTTCGACGGAATTGGAAAGAGAAGGACGTTAGTAGCATATGTAACCTTTTGTTAATATAGTTTAAACAATATGAGTAATAATAAAGTAAATGTCTGTTGTTTTTTTTATTTAGAGACGTGTAGAAATTGCCTGAAGAAATTTTGCTGCGGTCCTTGCATATCTGGTATGTGTTTTAAAAAAAGTGATTAAAAAAATAAATGTCATAAATGTTGTTAAATAATGCTGACAAAAATAACAAGCTTGTTGCCTAATGCTAGCTAAATTGTATCCAATTTTGCATTCACACGTGCGGTAGTCGTTATTAAAAAAATTAAATGCTTAATTACAATAGTTTTATATAAATTTGTTTATTATACAGAGTGATCCACTTATCGTGAACCACTCAATATCTCATAGGGTTAATTAAGAAATTTAAATGTTTTTTTCCCATATAGTTTTTATTCAATGTTATCTCAATTTTTCACATTTAGTTTTGTTTTTACCCCCCTCCAAGCTTAGTTTTTTTGATAGCAACTTTTGAAACTTAAATGGTAACGTATATATTTTATTAACTTTTTAAATTAAGAATAATGTACTAAAAATGTTGACTGGTCGATAACTAGTTTCGGATAACTATTTTTAAAGTTGTAAGAGTTTTAGTTAGGATGGGAGAAAAAGTGCGGTTGGAAAATGCGAGCAGATAAAAATAATACTACACTCCACCTTTCCTCCTACCATTACCTTGAAACTTCAACAATAGTTATCTGAAACTGGTTACCGACCAGTCAAAATTTTTATTACATTATTCTCAATTTAAAAAGTTAATAAAATATATACGTTACCATTTAAGTTTCAAAAGTTGCTATCAAAAAAACAAAGTCGAGATGAGGGTAAAAACAAACAAAATTGTGAAAAATTGTAAACCAGCAAAGTAAGAAATGACCAAAATGGGGTCCAGTATCGACTATCCATAGATTGACACCGAAGCGTTTTTTTAGACTTGTTTTTAAAGGAACTTTGCCACTATTGACTATATTTATTGTAGTATTTTAGCTTCTTACTATGTTAGATATTTATCTACTATGCTGCTCCCTAATTTGATTTGTATATATATATATTTTTTTTTTTTTGTTAGGTTCGACGGAATTGGAAAGAGAAGGACGTTAGTATAATATGTAACCTTTTGTTATATAGTTTAAACAATATGAATAATAATAAAGTAAATGTCTGGTGTTTTTTATTTAGAGGGATGTAGAGACACCATAGTTGAGATGGTGGTATGTCCTATCGGATCTTGTTTCTATTTTGGCTGCTGCTGCTGCTTCTGCCATAAATTTTGTGGGTCTCTTTTAAAACATATTGAAAATAGACTTTGTAAGTTGGTACAATTAATAAATAAATAATCAAATTTTAGTTCGCATCATCGTTATCATCGTTGATAATGACGGAGTAAGCTAACCTAACTTTTAAAATATACAAGTTAAAAAAAAAAATCATTGAAACATTCCTATTGATAAAGAAATCTAAACAATTTGAGAACGTACAAAAACGGATATAAACACAAAATCCGTCACATATATCTTTAGAAATTAAGAGCCTGGTATATATTTCTATTAAATATTATATGATTTAGCAAAAAAAAGTTAAACACAAATCTTTAACATGTTAAATTTTCCAAAATAACTTAGATCTTTCTATTGAATAACGTTTCTTTTTTAAGGAAATATAGTTTTAAAAAAGTCTAATTATAACATGCTTAAACCATTTACAATAGTTTTATTTTGACAATGGTGTCATGGGAATGAATTCAGTTATTTAATTTGTTTTTTTTATTTCAGGAAGGATCCAGAGGAGTCATAATTATATCCAGTTTCTTTCGAATCCAACTAAATAAATTCTCAAATATTCTACACATTTTTTTAAAATCAAAATTATATATTTTTACTAAATCATAATAAATATTTACTATTCGGCCAATTTTAAAATGTTATGTTTTTCGTTAATTTCACCTCTTATTGACTGAAAATAACAGATTTATTTACACGTCTTAGATAGCGGTTTTGTGTATTGAAGAGCGTTATATTATAATGGAAACATTATTACAGTCGCGTTAACTAACTTATGTCATTGAGTGGAAAAATAATTCCAGCACTGTCTGAAGCAAGTACAAAAATAGTTTTGTACAAGATGAGTAATAGGAATTATTTATTATGTTAATATAAATTAACATTCACGAAGACGCTTCAACGGAAATCTTTAGACACTGGACCCCACTTAATAAGTATTATTATTGTTTTCCTTAAAATGTTATTTTCTACTTAATCTTTTCTATGTACAGTCCATTTTACAGCTGAAACTTTTAAAGATTAAATTTGTGATTTATAGAGTTGCTACTCGAAGGAATTGGTTTAGTATTAAAAAAATTACAGTGTATACAGATAAAAAAAAATACCACATTGGAAAAGAACCATAAAATAACAATACCTTGTTGTTTTTTTTTTTTTAATAAATAATATTTTGGTGGAGGATTTCAATGTATGTGTTACACAGATTTAGTCATTAAGGACAAATATTGGATACAAGAATATACAACTTGTTTTCGACGTAGGTTTGGTTCAAAAGCAAATAATACAAATGTTGTTTATTGATAAATAAATAATAGTTCAGTGGGGCGTACATTAGGTACTACACTGTATGTATTCGTCAGATTAGTCATCGAAGACAAATGTTTTGGATACAAGAATATATTACTTGTTTTCGACGTAGGTTTGGTTCAAAAACAAATAATACAAATTACAACTGTTGTTTTTTGGTAAACAAATAATATTTCAGTGGAGCGTACATTAGGATTTCACTGTATGTATTTGCCAGATTCGTCATCGAAGCTAAATGTTTTGGATATTAGAATAAATGACTTAAGGCCTGGTTTGAAAACAAATAATACAAAATATGCTGTGGTTTTTATCATAAATAAATAGTATTTTTGTAGAGGATTTTACTGTAAACCTATATTACAACACCGTTTATTGTATTTCTTAAACATTCTCAAGCCGAACTTGACTTACAAAAAAACTTACCATAACGTTTCAAAGTTAATATAAAATTAAAATTTGGTTTTCCTTTTAGCTGCAGCGGTTTTTAAGTATGGTATTTAAAAGAAATTTGACCAGAATTTTACCAGTACTTTTGATCGCCGTTTTGACAATAGTTACAGGTAATATTATATTTTATTATGTATTTTTACAAATATATTTTTGTGAATGATTTAGTTAAAACCATATTTTTAGATATTTATATTATTTAGTCCAATGTGAATTTATTATTTTGATATTTTGATGGTTGGTATGGTAAAATCAAGTTTAAGTTTTTTTTTGTATTTCAGTCATAAGCGCAAGACCAAAAGGTAAGTGTTATAAGTACATTTGATGAGTGGTGGATGCTAGGGTGACTTAGTTTTTATAATGAATAAAGTAGAACTTTATCAACGGGGTAGGGTTTTTAGTTTTTTTTTAAATAACTTATTTACAATCAAAATTGGTATAAATCTAGTTTATCGGGCTTCCTTTTTTAATTTGTTTATAAAAAAATATTAGATATAGATATCGAAAAAAATAAAACGCTACCATTTCCATATATCAAAACAAAAATATTTTACATATTTCTGCATTAAATATTGACCTGAAGCTTGCAAAGACCAAACAAATCCATTAGTATTTATCAATAAATATGTTCACGATATAATTGAAAAAAATGGATAAAGTAGATCTTTATCTTTTTTAATTTGTTTATAAAAAAATATTAAGTATAGATGTTGAAAAAATTAAAACGCAAAAAATATGTTCACAATATATTTGGAAAAAATTTTAGTTTAATGAGGTACCTATTCCATATGAAGAACTGCGGGGAAAAAAGATCAATGTCAATTTTTTTTTTGACAATGAGATTTTGGTATCAAATTATTTGTATTGATGTATTGTATCTTTTATGCGCTCGAACCAGGGAAAAAAACAGAATAGTCGAGAGTAACGGCCGCCAGAAGTTTAAGCATACAGGTAAAATGTATAACGTTTTAAAATTAAAAAACATGATTTTCTCAGAATGATAAAAAATTGGCATTGATCTTTTTTCGCCGCAGCCCTAAATATGTATGTTATATTTAATTTTATAAAAACAATTATTTTTATGCAGGTCCTGGTGAAAACAAAGACGGTATGTTATTTGCTTCTTTTCATTTTTTTATTAATTATTATTAGGTGCTTGTAGATTTTACAATTACTTTATATAAATAAACATAACTCATACTAAAACCAATTTTTATACTTAAATTAGTTGTCCCTTTTATTCAGTAGTGTAATCCGGAAACTAATATTGGTCGATAAGAAGTTTTGACATTTTATTTTGGCGATTTATAATCATAAATCTGTTGGTAAGGGAAGAGGCGCACTTCTTCAATACCACTTTTTTTATTTAAGAGTTCCTTATAATAAAAACAGCTGATCTGACACATCCTTATAGTTTGACTAATAGTTTTGATTATCATAATGTTTATTTAGTTTATTTGTACATTTATTTTGTTGAATGGTCCATTTGGCTTATTATAACTAATCATTTTCAGTAACACCACCAGCACCCGTCGATATGTTTCCGTTTACAAAATAATATATAAAAATTCACATTATATTCGTTATTCTTTTTGTAATAATAATTTTATTTCTATCGATTTTTTTAATAAATTAATAATTCGATGTGGTTATGTACAGTACTATAGTTTTTATTATCATATTTATTATGTACCGAATGTTGTCCGTTTGGCTTATAACAACTTAATTCATTTTCAGTAACCCCGCAAGAAACACAGACATGGTCAGCAGGTATGTTTACGTTTACTAAGCAATAAATAATAAGTTACATTAGTTTTATACAATTATGGTTATAAGTTACTCGAAAATTTTCAACAACAATGTTGGGACTAAGATTAAATCACCTGTATAATAATTATATAATGTTTAATTTAATAGAGAGTGTCTTTATAAAAAGAGCTGGTCCGATTTTGATATTTCGTTTAAACCTTTGTATTTTGACAAGTCGTCTTTATTACTATAGTTATTTTGGATATAATATTGTTTATTTAGTTTATTTGTACGTTTATTTTATTGTATGGTCCATTTGGCTTATTATAACTTTAATCATTTTCAGAAACAAGACCAGCAGCCGCAGGTATATTTACGTTTACAAAATAATAAATAAAAATTCACATTATATTCGTATTTTTTTTTAGAATAATAATTTTATTTCTATCTTTTTTTTAAATTAGTTTATATCAATGTAGCTATCCAACTTGTTCAGATCCAACTTATTTTGGACTACAAAAACGTTTACGTAGATCAGTAAATAATAATTTATGAGATAACATGATTATGTCAGAAATATTAGTAGTATTATTAGAATAATTATTATTATGTGCTAGTAGGTTTTAAAAAGACAGTTCTGACTTTGATTATTTTGTTTAAGCCCTTGAATATTGACTAATCTTTTTTCATTACCACATTTGGCTTATTATAATTTTATTTATTTTCAGTTACACAAACAACAGCCGTCGGTATGTTTACGTTTACAAAGTAATAATTAAAAATTCACATAATATTTGTATATATTTTTATAATAATAATTTTATTTCTATCGTTTTTTTAAATTAGTTTATAATTCAATGTAGCTATGTACATATCTAACTTATTTTATTGATGATTATTTTAGAAAACTTTCCATCTCCTATGAAATATTTATTAATGTATATAAATCTTTGATAATAACACATTACCATACAGATCGTGATATATAATAGAAAAAAAAAATGATAAAAAAAAAAAAAAATGGTATAAAATGTTGTTAAATAATGCTTACAAAAAAAACAAGCTTGTTATCTAATGCTAGCTAAATAATTGCGCCCAATTTCGCAATCACACGTGCGGTAGTCGCCGTTAAGCACATGTACCTATAATACAGAGTAGGTAATTAATAGAAAAACATAATCCAAATGCATGATTACAATAGTTTTATGTACATTTTTTTTATACAAGGTGATCCACTTATCGTGAACCACTTAATATCTTTTATTTTTTGTTTTTAAACCAAACTTTTAGCCAAGAACAAAACGTATGTTTTGTTTTTACACTATATTTAGTATCCAAAAACTGTAAATTTAATTGAGTACATAAGATTTCACGTATTTTTATTAATACAAACTCGCATCGATATTCGTAGCTGGTATTAAAAACTTTTGGCTCAGATGACTTAATTATATTTAAGAATTATAACTATAAATACCTATACTATAATATATTTAGACCTTATCAAAGTACCTAAAAAGTATAGTTGAAAAAAATAGAGCAATATAAAAAAAAATGTTTATTAAAAATATTGTCTTTCTGGTTTCATACTTCAAAAGTACTACTAACGTAAAACATGAATAATTATTATACTATACGCAATGTGTATAGTAATCATTAATAAGTATATTTTAATACACATATACAGGGTGGTTTTTTTTATCAAGAACCACTCAATTTCTTATAGTTTTTTTTATAGGAAATTACAATTATTTTTATCATATTGTTTTTATACAATGTGATCTCAGATTATCACATTTTTTTTTGTTTTTATCCCCCTCCCAACTTATTATTTTTGACAGCATGTTTGGTGTTTTGCCATTGCGGCAGCCCATTGTAAAGAACGGTGAATAAAATCAGTTGTTTTATTTTTATTCAAACATTGGGCTGTACTTTTTTTTAACCAACACTTCGTTCGACATTGCGTTGATCTTGTACCTCCACGTCTGAGTGAAGCAAGTACCATCATGGTTTGGCTAAATAGACCTGACACGCTGTCAGTCACACAACGCTGACCGATTATAATCGTGGCATCCCTCGAACGCCCGACGTCCCGAGTCCAGAGAGACTTATCCTTCTTGATTACTCGTGGACGTCCCGAGTAAACCGTAATCGAACACGATGTCTGTTGCGGTGACGGTCCCTATATACGGTCCCTATTAAGTCACTCTTTGCGTCACCCTGTCCAACGCGCTGCGTTTGCGTCAACGTGCGGACACCTACCGAAACAGCGAGGCGCACGTTCGGTGGCCTATTCGAAATTAATTCAGGGGCAACCCAACTTTTTTTTTTTTGTTCTATTTAACAAACAATTATATTTTATAAACTTTTTATATTTAGAATAATGTACTAAAAATGTTGACTGGTCGAAAACTAGTTTCGGATAACTATGTTTAAAGTTATACGAGTTTTAAAGTCAGTAAAATATGAACATGTACCCTTTTGCAAATAGTTGAAACAATATGAGTAATAATAAAGTAAATGTCTGGTGTTCTTTTTTTATTTAGAGGGATGTAAAGATTGCATGGTCCAGGCGAGTGTATGTTCTATCGGATGTTGTATATACCTTGGCTGCTGCTTCTGCTGCTGCCCTAAATTTTTTTATTCTGTAACACAAGCTGTGAAAAATAAACTTTCGAATCCAACTAAATAAATTGTCAAATTGTGTACACATTTTTTCAAAACCAAAATTATATATTTTGACTAAATCATAATAAATATTTACTGTTCGGCCAATTTTGAAATGTTATATTATTCGTTAATTGCACCTATTATTGACTGTAAGCAACAGATTTATTTACTCGTTTTAGATAGCCGTTTTGTGTATTGAAGAGCGTTATATTATAATGAAAACATTATTACGGTCGTGTTTACTAACTTATGTCATTGATTGGGAAAATAATTCCAGCACTGTCTAAAGCAAGTACAGTCGAGATCAGTACAGAAAGAGTTTAGTACAATATGAGTAATAGGAATTTTTTATTATGTTAATATAAATTAACATTTAAGAAGACGCTTCCACGGGATGCAACCAGAAAGACAATCATTTTAATAAACATTTTTCTTATGTAACTATTTTTTTCAACTATAGTTTTTAGGTACTTTGATAAGGTCTAAATATATTATAGTATAGGTATTTATAGTTATAATTCTTAAATATAATTGGGTCATCTGAGCCAAAAGTTTTTAATACCAGCTATAATGTCAAACGAAGTGTTGGTTAAAAAAAAGTACAACCCAATGTTTGAATAAAAATAAAACAACTGATTTTATTCACCGTTCTTTACAATGGGCTGCCGCAATGGCAAAACACCAAACATGCTGTCAAAAATAATAAGTTGGGAGGGGGATAAAAACAAAAAAAAATGTGATAATCTGAGATCACATTGTATAAAAACAATATGATAAAAATAATTGTAATTTCCTATAAAAAAACTATAAGAAATTGAGTGGTTCTTGATAAAAAAAACCACCCTGTATATGAGTATTAAAATATACTTATTAATGATTACTATACACATTGCGTATAGTATAATAATTATTCATGTTTTACGTTAGTAGTACTTTTGAAGTATGAAACCAGAAAGACAATATTTTTAATAAACATTTTTTTTTATATTGCTCTATTTTTTTCAACTATACTTTTTAGGTACTTTGATAAGGTCTAAATATATTATAGTATAGGTATTTATAGTTATAATTCTTAAATATAATTAAGTCATCTGAGCCAAAAGTTTTTAATACCAGCTACGAATATCGATGCGAGTTTGTATTAAAAAAAATACGTTAAATCTTATGTACTCAATTAAATATACAGTTTTTGGATACAAAAATATAGTGTAAAAACAAAACATACGTTTTGTTCTTGGCTAAAAGTTTGGTTTTAAAACAAAAAATTAAGATGTTGTTTTTGAATAAATAATATTTTAGTGGAGGATTTCAATGTATGTGTTACACAGATTTAGTCATGAAAGCCAAATATTGGATACAAGAATACACACCTTGTTTTCGACTTAAATATCTGTTTCTTGTTTTCGACGTAGGTTTGGTTCAAAAACAAATTTTACAAATATGGTTTATTGGTAAATAAATAATATTCCAAAGGGTTATACATTAGAACTTCACTGTATGTATTAGCCAGATTAGTCATCGAAACCAAATGTTTTGGATATAAAAATATGTGACTTGTTATATAACCTTTATAACCACACCATTTATAGTATTTCTTAAACATTCCCAAGTCGAACTTGACTTATAATACAACTTACCATAACGTTTCAAAGTTAATATAAAATTAAAATTTGGTTTTCCTTTTAGCTGCAGCGGTTTTTAAGTATTGCATTTAAAAGAAATTTTACCAGAATTTTACCAGTACTATTGTTTTTCGTTTTGACAATAATTACAGGTAATATTATATATTATTATGTATTTTTACAAATATATTTTTGTGAATGATTTAGTTAAAACCATATTTTTAGATATTTGTATTATTTAGTCCAGTGTGAATTTCTTATTTTGATATTTTGATGGTTGGTATGATAAAATTAAGTTTAAGTTTTAGACCCGCAGGAGGTGAGTGTTAAAAGTACATTTGATGAGTGGTGGATGCTAGGGTGGCGTAATTTTTACAATGGATAAAGTAGAACTTTATCCATTTTTTTTAATTTCTTTATAAAAAAATATTAAGTATAGATGTTGAAAAAATTAAAACGCAAAAAATATGTTCACAATATATTTGGAAAAAAATTAGTTTAATGAGGTACCTATTCCATATGTTTATTTTATCAAGTTCGTTAACTCAGTGTAAGTGGTAGCTAAGTAAAAAAAAATAGTATTCCAACATAAGCCTTAAAATACGTGATATAACATAGGAACTAAGTGAATACCATAATGTAATATATTTATTATACATCGATGTCAACAAATAAAATCAGACTTACGACTCCGCTCAAGTAAACTAAATTTCAATTTTTTCATGACTGGTTTGGTTTGATATGTCAACTGATTTTATTTGTTGACATCGATATATAATAAGTATATTACATTATGTATTTACTTAGTTCCTATAATATTATTTCACGTATTTTAAGGCTTATGTTGGAATACTATTTTTTTTTACTTAGCTACCACTTACACTCAGTTAACGAACTTGATAAAATAAACATATGGAATAGGTACCTCATTAAACTAATTTTTTTTCAAAATATATTGTGAACATAATTTTTGCGTTTTAATTTTTTCAACATCTATACTTAATATTTTTTTATAAACAAATTAAAAAAGATAAAGTTCTACTTTATCCATTGTAAAAATTACGCCACCCTAGCATCCACCACTCATCAAATGTACTTTTAACACTCACCTCCTGCGGGTCTTGCGTTTATGACAGAAATACAAAAGAAAACTTAAACTTAATTTTATCATACCAACCATCAAAATATCAATATAATAAATACACGTAGGACTAAATGATAAATATATCTAAAAATATGGTTTTAACTACATCATTCACAAAAATATATTTGTAAAAATACATAATAATATATAATATTACCTGTAATTATTGTCAAAACGAAAAACAATAGTACTGATAAAATTCCGGTAAAATTTCTTTTAAATGCCATACTTAAAAACCGCTGCAGCTAATAGGAAAACCAAATTTTAATTTTATATTAACTTTGAAACGTTATGGTAAGTTGTATTATAAGTCAAGTTCGGCTTGGGAATGTTTAAGAAATACTATAAATGGTGTGGTTATATAGGTTATATAACAAGTCACATATTTTTATATCCAAAACATTTGGTTTCGATGACTAATCTGGCTAATACATACAGTGAAGTTCTAATGTATGCCCCTTTGGAATATTATTTATTTACCAATAAACCATATTTGTAAAATTTGTTTTTGAACCAAACCTACGTCGAAAACAAGAAACAGATATTTAAGTCGAAAACAAGGTGTGTATTCTTGTATCCAATATTTGGGTTTCATGACTAGTGTAAACTGTAACACATACATTGAAACCCTCTACAAAAATATTATTTATTTATGATAAAAACCACAGCATATTTTGTATTATTTGTTTTGAAACCAGGCCTTAGTCATATATTCTAATAACCAAAACATTTGGCTTCGATGACGAATCTGGCAAATACATACAGTGAAATCCTAATGTACACTCCACTGAAATATTATTTATTTACCAAAAAACAACAATTGTAATTTGTATTATTTGTTTTTGAACCAAACCTACATCGAAAACAAGTCATATATGACTGGTTTGGTTTGATATGACAACTGATTTTATTTGTTGACATCGATGTATAATAAATATATTACATTATGTATTTACTCAGTTCCTATAATATTATATCACGTATTTTAAGGCTTATGTTGGAATACTTTTTTTAATTTTTTACTTAGCTACTATTTACACTGATTTAACGAAGTGTTTTTGTTGGGATATCAGTAGTTTTTTTTTAATATTATTATACAAAATATAGTTTTAAATATATAGTATTAACCGTCAGTATTAACATTAGCAAAATAAATACAAAGACAACACACAACAAGGTACAGCACAATATACAACAATTACATGACAGTGTAGCTGTATAAATAACAATGGTGGGGACTACCCCGGTCCGACCCCTCGCCGTCATACACAACGTCTGGCACCGCGCGGTGATCATACAATTTTTTTGACTAAAACAAGTATCTCGAAACCTTAGAAATGTTGTACTATTTTGCTTGTAACTAAGAAAGTACCAACTAATATGCTAGTTTGCTCGATCTCATTTACACAACTTTTCCAATCTACTGATATCTCATATGTTCATTTCTGTCCAGCCGTTATTTTTACAAAATCATTTCGAATTTTATGGTAAAATTCGCGTGTAATTTACACGCGTTTAATTGGATTGCGGTGCTTTGTGTATAGTATATACGGCGGTGCGCGCTCGCTATTTTTTTTTTATAATTATAACGTTTTTATGAACTCACAATCTTGTTTGTCGTTTCGGGTGGAATCTTGCAACTCAAATTTCGAGCACTTCCCGATTGGCTATCCATCGATATCGTATATTCAGGGTAGCTCACAATTCGATGACAATGCATTATTAATCCACAAGAGGTTGAAAATTCCACCCCTAAGGGGGTTAAAATGGGGTCGATTTCTTGTCCGTCGTTCCGGGTGGAATCTTGCGATTCAAAAAGACTTATTTCTCACTCGCCAGCAAAAATTATGCGTGGTGCGTTTGGGCGTAAACGGTGCTCACATATGAGCGGGGTACCAGGTTCAAACCGGTTCCCATCAAAATTACACTTTTTTGCATTTTCTCACAACTTTTATTCAACTTTTATGATAATTTATATAGTAATTACAACTTAATTTCAACTTTTATGATAAGCTATACAGTAATAAATCTAAAATTATAAAAGTTAAGTAAAGTTTATTGTTTTGTCTATCCAATTCCAAACTATTTATTTCTACTTTGGAATCCTCCCCTTATTTTTCTACTTTTATTCAACGTCAATGCATATGCTGGTGGCAGGTTCGTTGTTCATATTTATAGTAGATATAAATTCTAATTTATCTTAACAATTATGATATAAATATTTTAGTGTGTTAGAGGTAATATAGCCTAAATGGAGTTCTCATGTTGACCGACTAAATAACCCTATCTATGTATAATAAATATAGAGCTGTGAAAAAAATATCCTAGCTGGTCAATCACATAATATTGGATTGGCTTAAATACGATTTTTATAAGAACAATTCAAGGTACAAAAATGAATCCTACATATTTTTAATTGTAAAGTATGTTGGTTTCAAATTATTAAAAAAAAAAAAAAAAGACCGTTCAATAATAATATTTAAACGAATATTTATCAGCATTTTGAGAATTAAACCCTTAAAATAATATAACTAAGGCGATGTAAAAGATGTTGTTTTTGTTTTGGATATACTTCTTAATTTAGAGCACTGGTGTGTGACTATCACATAACTGTTTGAACAAGCATACAAAACATCAATAACTATTTACTTCTTATTTCAATAAATAACACAACTTAAAAAGTATTTTCAATACGTTTCCGTGTAAAAATGTAAATATACAATTATTTTGTAATAACAACTAGGAGAAGAACCATCGGTGAATACTTCAAGGATAAACACTGAGTTCTAATTGAAAATGACTTAATAATACGGTGAAGAATCAAGAGATGTAGGAATTGAAATTAAAAACTTATTAAGACCGCTCTAAATAGGTGTTCATAAAAATATTAACGTTGCTTGAGAAGTAATTGGGTGTATAAGTTAAAATTTACAAAAACAGTATATTGACGATTAAAACAATACTATTTTTCTCCTCTACAAAATATCCTATTAAAATCGCAAAAAATAATCAAACTCCAACCACTGTGAGGGTGATAAATGGATATAATTAAGATTTGAGGCTATAGACCTATAGGTTTATACCAAATAAGTAATACTTATGTAAAGTATCTGTTTGGCTAATTGGCCAAACGTTTACCCGACCTTTTTTCACGAAACTAAGATAAAAAAAGATGCCAATTAAATTTTAAAAAATTATTATTATAATAAACATTATTGTTTATTATGTGTAGGCGCATTTCATGCAACGAAAGTTCAGCGTACGGAATTAAACACGATATTGACACTGTCATCAGTTAAGATTTTATTATTGACATAATATTATGTAGGTTATCTGTTCAAACCGTTTGGCGACGACGGAAGAGATAGCTTAAAAACATGAAGAATATAATAATACACGGAAACTTTATGCTAATATTTGTAATATTAAACTATATTGGTCAAATAATACTTCAACATTTCAGGAAGAATATCATAAATCACTAACATCAAATACGCTTTAAAAGATAAAAACAAACAACAACCGTCGTGTTTTGTATGTCATTTCCTCATAATATTTTTTTTAACCTGTTTACATTGTAATACTAATTATAACCATTTTGGGTATAAAACGTTAGCAAATTCACCGGTAACCTAGCATTGAGATTAATTTGCTTCTTTGGTGTTATACATTTATATCTTAAATATGCATTTCAAAGGCAGCTTTTTGTTTTTATCAGCAGTGGTTTTGGTTGTGCTGTCAACATCTACAGGTACATACAAACATTGAGTATAAAAATTAATAGTATAATATAATAAAAACGAATTAGGTCGTTTTTTAGAAAAAGTGTAGGTAATATTTTCTAAGAGCGATATTACAATAGTTTTACTTTTCATGTTTCAGGCGTTAATGGAGGTAAGTTTTAAATTAAGTTGTACTATTTGTATTCGTTGATAGAAGAATTTGACTAAAAAAGAAAAGTGTAGGCCCTATTTAACAAAGTCTAAATTCATCGAGTTAAGTATTGTGAAATGTATGTGTCACACACTAATATAAAATCATTATCTGAAATTTTATCTGATACATAATTTAACTTAATAATTATGAATAGAATAATAAATTCATACGTACGTGTTAGTGAGTTAAAGAAAATCAGTATTTGGTATAACCTTAATACAACTTTTTTAGATACAACTTAATAAGTAGTAATTAGAAAAGTTATCCAATGGATTAAATAAGTATTTAGACAAGGTTATTTTTTCGATGTTTCAGAGCAAGATAAAGAACTACCCAGAGGAGGAGGTAAGTCAATATAGTTATTTTCATGAAAACCTTTATATTTATAAAGGGGCGTTGTTTTCTTACCTAACCTAACCAAACAATTTTTACCCGCTTGTAAAAAAAGAAGGCTAATGTGCATAGGTTTAGTATGCGTAAAAAATATGTTTGATCCCACATCTAAAGTACCGAAAATGCCAAAAAACTAGACTCTCAATGTGCATAGTGCGAACGGTTATCAGCCGTTACTATAGAAACCATTGGCGTTATTTAGAATGGGCAGAAAACAAATTTTGTAAAAAACTTAATAATAATAAGAAATTAAGAAATAAAAAAAACAAACTAAATGCTTTATTACAATAGTTTTATATTATTTATTTATATTAAACATACTCATTTTCATGTTTCAGATTACATTGAACCTAGTAAGTTTTAAACTAAATTGTACTATTTTTTTTGTTGATCAGATTCTTATGTCATAAATGTTAGGAAAATATAAATATAATGTTTGTAGTAATGTTTCTTATACATTTACGGACTCAAGTGTAAACTTATATTAGATAGGTACTGCTAATAAGTAAATAAATAAATCAAACTACTCATACGAAAATAAATAACCAATAAAAACAAAAATATTTTTTTTGTATAACTTCTATCTAATTACATTGACGAAGTATCGAACATAAAATCTACAAAAGATTAAAATATGTACAAAAAAAAATATTGTAAGATGTAATAATATAAGTTAAAATTATAAATGAAATAAAACTATGAAATTAAAAAAAAAAAGTTCAAATGCTTTATTACAATAGTTTTATATTCATCAATATAATATATTATAATTATTTATTTTTAGGTCAACCTAATACCCAGTCACCTTCACAGTTTAGTAAGTTATTTACTACATTGTACTATTTTTATTTGGAGATCGGATTCCAATGTCTTAAATATAAAGAAAAAACAAAAAAAAATTCTTAGAGTTCTTGAGTGCCCAGGATTCAATGAAATCATGAACACATTATGTTCTCTGTTTCGATTTTTCCGATTCAGGGTTTCTTTGTATTAAATATTGTAGTGAATATGTTATGTATAGGTACAAAAAAAAAATAGTATAAAACGTTATAATATAAGTTTATACAATAAATTAAATAAAAATTAAGTAATTAAAAAAAAAAATGTTTAAATGCTTTATTACAATAGTTTTATATGCATTTTTATATAGGTATTATAGTTATTTATTTTCCATGTTTTAGCTTTTTCTGGTGGACAATCTGGTAAGTTATTTACTACATTTTACTATTTTTATTTGGTGGTCGGATTCCAATGTCTTAAATATAAAGAAAAAACAAATAAAAATTCTTAGTGTTCTTGAGGGCACAATATGATTCTCTGAAATAGTGAATATATTTTCTCCGTTTATTATTTACAGTTTCAGGGATTTTTTTTTAATATTATCAAATACGCTATTGATGGCTTGAAATTTGTATAAAATACTATAAATGCCTAACATTGTTGAAAAAAATAATAACTTTGTTCATTAGCATATTATAATATCATTTGTCTTGTTGTAAAAATATTCAAAAACTAATTTGTGGTTATCGTTTAACTTAACAAAGTGAAACGATTTGAATCATCAATTAAAATAAATTACACCAATTTATGTACTAAAAAAAGATAGAATATAAAAACAAGCATTAGAAATATTGTTTTTCTATGTTTCAGGTGGAACAATAAATAATCCTTCAGTACCAACAGCTACTGGTAGTTGTAAGTCTATGAATATTTATTTATTGATACATTTTACATTAAGAAAGGGAGAATTTTACAAATATGACAAATGAGAAAATGAGTTATGAACTAACTGAAGGTTAGATAAAAGTACCTATTTATAAAATAAATGTATGACGTATAATGTTAGTGCCTCCAAATAAATTTAATATAAAAAATACCAGTTGTCCTACTGACTAATAAATGGGCACTTGAAAAATACAAATAAAACAAAAAAACAAGTAATTGAATTTTTCTATGTTTCAGTTACATTTCCACAACCTTTATCATCTACCGTTACTCCCGGTAAGTTCATGTAAATTATTATATTGAATAACTTTACATTACATAAAAGTATATATTAAATGACGGTATGACGGAAATATTATTAGTGTATCCGAATTAATTGAATGCAAAAAACTTCTAGTTGTAAAATAATTACTATAGTTCGTAGTAAACACTAAACACGGCTAAACACTTTTAATCGATAATTAACAATTACAATGCTGTTATATGTACTTAAAAAATATAAATAAAACGGAGAAACAAGTATTTGAGTTACTTTTTTTTATGTTTCAGCAGCTTATCCTTGGCCAAGCCGGCATAATAATCAATAGTAAGTACTCCGCTGGATTCTATCTACCCTCAGATTCGCACCGAAAAATTGTTTTCAAGTGATTTTGATGGACACTGATTAAAAACCCCTGATATAACAAAACCTCTGCCTAGAACTTGAATTTTCTCAATAAGTATTAAACAGAAATATTTAGTTTTATTAAAATTTTTCAATTTAACTCTCCACAATAGTCGATACCAATTTTTATGAAAAATTGTGTAAACTAAATAGATAATAGTTATTATAAAATATAATATTATAGTTTATTTTTTTTTCATATATATATTGCTGCAATTGGTCTCGGACACATTTCCACATCCGGCCATGAATAATCTTACTGTTTAATTTTTTATATTTATTTCAAACCTATTGAAAATATTACAAAGTTGTAATATTGTTATTACATTTCTGAATAATTGTATATTTACTTTTTTACGAAAAAGTATTGAAAAGATTTTGTGTGTTTTATTGAAATTATAATAAAAATATATAATAATATATTGAAATGATGTTTTGTATGTTTGTTCAATCAGTAACCCGTTAGTCATACACCAATGCACTAAATCACAAATATGTCCAAAAAAACGACTTCTTTGAAATCCATCTAATTATATAACTTTAAGTCTAGAAAGTTTTAGAAAACGATTTCGATTATTATCTTATCGTGGGACGTTTTATTTTTGACTTGAGCAATTAAAAATTATTTTCAAAACGGACATTGTTGAAGCGCATTGTATAGGCAATTTGTCATCAAAACTGGATATAAGGTAAAATTTGTAAATATTAACCGATTAAAGAAGGATTTATTTTGATATTTAATTATTAATTTTTATGAAAAATTAATAAATGCATTACATATTTAACAAGGTTTTGATCGAAGCACAACTTTAAAATTATTTACAGCTATTAAGTAATATCTGTGTGTCTTATTTACCTTAAATACTTTACAATGGTCCATACTCAAAAATCACTTATTAATTGTAGGCCTTATACTCGCTATAATATGTTTCCTATGAAAAATAACTAAAACATCTTTTTAATATAAAAGATATAGGGGTTTTGTTATTATTGGTGTTAGTATTTGTATTATTATTATTTTTTAATATCTGGAACAATTTGAACTTCTTGACTGTTTTTTTCCTAATATGCACTGACTGAAATCGTTTACCGAAAGCCTAGGTTTAAAAATTGTGATAGTGAAAAATTTGTAAAAAACGACGTTTAGATTTTTGAACTCTTTGTCATCAAGCCTAGTCCAATGACTAACAGTCTAATTTTCAGAGTTAAATCTATAAAACAACATCTAAAAAACGATATAAACTCTTCTGGGGTAATAAAAATTGCTGTTGCAATTAAATTTAATATACAAATGTTAACCCGTCTTCCGAAATGTAAGGAATATCACATTAAAATTTCGATGTTATTCTCCTTTTTAAAATAAATTATCTTATATTTTCACGAAGATGGACACATTGCACTGATAAGAAATCCCTTATAAAACAAAGCCATGTTCTAGATCTTATTGGTAGGCTTGTTATGAAACAGTAATAGACATAGGTATACATTTGATAACAAAATAAGGTCTGACAATTTGATCGATTGTGAATCCAGTGTGCTGTGTGGGGCAATACAATATACAATTATCTAATATATCAATATCAATTATTATAATATTTTAGTAGGAAATAATATTGTAAAAATATTTATATTTCAATAATTATGTCTTAATATTACAAATGTAATACTTAAGCGTAAATTAATTTCAGACTCTATAATATTATGCTTATTATATTATATTAAACCATTTAATTTATGCGATCCGAATTTGGCTGAATTTTATTTGTATATCGATGATTACGACCAACAAATAAAATAATACATGATTTCATTGTGAAATATTGTATTTCCTTGAGTTTTTATACTGGTTAATTAATTATTTATGAGTTTATAACTAAATAATTATAAGATAATACTTAACACACGTGTGCGCCTAAGCATCGATAACAGTAGCGGCTTGTACTAATAAGATATAATATATATAACTAGACAACTGTTGAGCTGTTGTACAGCTTTCTGGTAACTCAACATAGTCTTTGATCGACTTGATTATCGAACTTGTCTTTAAACGGATTATAAAGCTCTTTTAGTCTTTCACAGTGGTAGCTTATAGTAGGTGAGAACATTATATTAGGCGAAAAAAAAAAAAGTAACGACTTTTAATTTGAGTTAAAATACTGCATGCACACTGAGATGAGATTATAAGGTAAATCCTTTTTACTCTACCCCAGTGTGTATAAAATATATTTATTTATTGTTATATGATAATATAATTTAAACATTTGTGCAAATAAGATATTATATAGTGTATACGTTGTTACAAGATATTTATAATAACTGAAGTTCATAATGTAATTCTTCCTATTTCCATTGTAGTGTCATCAGTTGTTGCTTCACGACCTATTTTAAAAGATTCTTTTGCTTTTTCAAGGCATTCTTTAGCGAAGGCAACTACACCCTTTTGATCCTTATAACGAGCTTCGTAAACTAGATTTATGTAATGTCTAAATTGCCATACATCTACAGTCTCTAAAACAAAAAAAACTTATTTTTACAAATTGTTAAATAATATTATCCTTTTTATAATGCACCCTTCTGGTGCGTGACGTGGACTTTGCAAGACAATTGTTAAAAATCATTTGTAGGGTTATGACAGAGGGCGACGTTATACAGAGTGGACTAAAAATGAAAATTTAATTGTCATGATGTAATTTTTGACGATTCCAGTATGATACAGGAAGATCAATTTATTGCAAGTCACTCATATTATTCTCGAAAAGTAATAACGATTTTATAGTTTCTTTTTTTTTTTAAACATTAGTGGCTTTTTACAATATTAAAAAATTACTTAATATTATCTTTAATTAGTATTTTCAAAGGCTCCATTAACTTTAACTATAAGTACTTTCCAATAAAATGAGTGCCATACTTATTTTAAACACTAATATACTGGTTTACATATTATTTGGGTATGTGTTTTAGTTTCTATGCGAAGCTGAAAATATTATAATAGTTTTAAAATTAGGTTTTTTTAATTTTACTTGTGCTTTCATATGGTCCAGGGTTCTTTTCAATATATTTATCAATAGTACTTCTATTTGTCTCATCGTCCCCAACAAATAAGAAGAACTGTTCATTAAAGAAACGTTTGTAATTTGTAGCTTTACAAACACCAAGAAGTGTTACGTAGGCATAGAATATTTGGTCTAGTTCCTGAAATTTTTTTCAGTTATATCATACAAAAAATAGGAGTATTATTTGATTGAATATTTAATTGAATAAATCACGAATAAAGAATGAACTGTTATTATATTATTCATTCATTAATAGATTAAATTAACTATTTATCCGTAATACATTTTTCAATCAAGAATAAAGTATTTATTTCCCTAGCTAAAGTTTTTGGATGAAAAAAAAATCATACATTTTTATTATCTGTGAAAATATAAAACATTACCTTTACTACCGTAAAAGGATCGTCTTGGACAGAGGTAGCAGCTTTGTCTTCGGTAGGACCATCCTGTACAGAGGTAGCAGCTTTGTCTTCGGTAGGACCATCCTGTACAGAGGTAGCAGCTTTGTCTTCGGTAGGACCATCCTGTACAGAGGTAGCAGCTTTGTCACGACCTATTTTAAAAGATTCTTTTGCTTTTTCAAGGCATTCTTTAGCGAAGGCAACTACACCCTTTTGATCCTTATAACGAGCTTCGTAAACTAGATTTATGTAATGTCTAAATTGCCATACATCTACAGTCTCTAAAACAAAAAAAACTTATTTTTACAAATTGTTAAATAATATTATCCTTTTTATAATGCACCCTTCTGGTGCGTGACGTGGACTTTGCAAGACAATTGTTAAAAATCATTTGTAGGGTTATGACAGAGGGCGACGTTATACAGAGTGGACTAAAAATGAAAATTTAATTGTCATGATGTAATTTTTGACGATTCCAGTATGATACAGGAAGATCAATTTATTGCAAGTCACTCATATTATTCTCGAAAAGTAATAACGATTTTATAGTTTCTTTTTTTTTTTAAACATTAGTGGCTTTTTACAATATTAAAAAATTACTTAATATTATCTTTAATTAGTATTTTCAAAGGCTCCATTAACTTTAACTATAAGTACTTTCCAATAAAATGAGTGCCATACTTATTTTAAACACTAATATACTGGTTTACATATTATTTGGGTATGTGTTTTAGTTTCTATGCGAAGCTGAAAATATTATAATAGTTTTAAAATTAGGTTTTTTTAATTTTACTTGTGCTTTCATATGGTCCAGGGTTCTTTTCAATATATTTATCAATAGTACTTCTATTTGTCTCATCGTCCCCAACAAATAAGAAGAACTGTTCATTAAAGAAACGTTTGTAATTTGTAGCTTTACAAACACCAAGAAGTGTTACGTAGGCATAGAATATTTGGTCTAGTTCCTGAAATTTTTTTCAGTTATATCATACAAAAAATAGGAGTATTATTTGATTGAATATTTAATTGAATAAATCACGAATAAAGAATGAACTGTTATTATATTATTCATTCATTAATAGATTAAATTAACTATTTATCCGTAATACATTTTTCAATCAAGAATAAAGTATTTATTTCCCTAGCTAAAATTTTTGGATGAAAAAAAAATCATACATTTTTATTATCTGTGAAAATATAAAACATTACCTTTACTACCGTAAAAGGATCGTCTTGGACAGAGGTAGCAGCTTTGTCTTCGGTAGGACCATCCTGTACAGAGGTAGCAGCTTTGTCTTCGGTAGGACCATCCTGTACAGAGGTAGCAGCTTTGTCTTCGGTAGGACCATCCTGTACAGAGGTAGCAGCTTTGTCACGACCTATTTTAAAAGATTCTTTTGCTTTTTCAAGGCATTCTTTAGCGAAGGCAACTACACCCTTTTGATCCTTATAACGAGCTTCGTAAACTAGATTTATGTAATGTCTAAATTGCCATACATCTACAGTCTCTAAAACAAAAAAAACTTATTTTTACAAATTGTTAAATAATATTATCCTTTTTATAATGCACCCTTCTGGTGCGTGACGTGGACTTTGCAAGACAATTGTTAAAAATCATTTGTAGGGTTATGACAGAGGGCGACGTTATACAGAGTGGACTAAAAATGAAAATTTAATTGTCATGATGTAATTT